TGCAAATGAGTGGAGACACTGAGAAGCCAGTGAGAGTGCTCTCTAAGGACTCAAAACATTCGAGAGTTTGGAAAAATATTGAAAATTGTCGATTTGGCAGAGGACCATGTGAATCGAAAAAATATTAGTTCGAAAGGAGGTATTTATATGAAGCTTCAGACAATTCTACGTACTAAAAGTCAAGATTGAAAGTTATGCAAATGAGTGGAGACACTGAGAAGCCAGTGAGAGTGCTCTCTAAGAACTCAAAATCTTTGAGAGTTTGAAAAAAATAACCCCCTTGCACTTTACTGATATATTACATACATTTTGTTAGTCAAAAACTGATTTGTTCATTATACGAACAAAATCGAGTGTCACTTACGTTCTATAGTGACAATGTATTTGAACGCGACTCGATTTAAGAAGCGCCATCTCTATCTCGCCAGGAGCTCATATATTTTTCTCTTGCAAACAAAATTTTAAAATTGCATAAATTGAATAAGTTTTGCAATAATAATAACGAAAATAATTAATAGAATTTATTATAATACCATGTAGAGATGGTTACGTGGAGAAAATATGTATTTGTCAAACATTGATATCTGTCAAAAGAAACAACGTAAACAACACGAAGTGAAGCTATTCTGGTGAATCATATGATATAAAATATTTGAGTGTTTTTTCAATTTTTTTTATTTATTATAAATTCTATTAATAATTTTCGTTATTATTATTGCAAAACTTATTCAATTTATACAATTTTGCAAGAAAAAAATATATGAGAACCTGGCGTGAAAGGCCATCTCTTCTTAAATCGAGTCGCGTTGAAAGCCGACTGTGAGTGATACTCGAACAAAATACACTTTGTTTTCAAAAATTTTGTAAAATTTATGAAATGTTTATAAAATATACAAAGACAATTTGTATAAATTTCATTATGGAAATTTCTTAGTGAAGGGAAATTTCTTAGTGAACTTTGCACATATCACTGACTGGGATCTCAGCACATTCGACTTTAATCGAAAATAAGCAATATACATTCTGATGCCATTTGAACGATTAAGCAGATGACGATGGTATTCGTCTCAAACAATAAATGCCATATATATGGCGGTATGTTATCTAGTTTACTCAGATTGCGATTGAAAGACGCATGAAGTACAACGTGCCAGAGTTTTATTTTTGTGATTCTTGAACATCTTAATTTTTAATTTTGTAAAATAATTTAAAATACTCATTCATAATGTCAGAGGTTTGGAAGGGAAAAGCCTATAAGTTGACCGATTCGAAAAATTTCGACAAATATTTAAAAGTGTTTGGTAAGTTCACTCTACAAAAAACATACCGTATAAATTTGGCAAATTATGGACAGAGCACAGAGTTAAAACTCAAATTATTTGAGTCCCATCGATTATTATGATTTTTGTTGAATTTTTGGTGATTTTTGTTGTTTCAGGTGTTGGATTTATTCAACGTAAACTGGTAAACTCAATTACTACAACAATCGAACTGAAAAAAGATGGTGATCTATACACTTTAGTGACATCAACGAAATTTGGACCATTGACCATTTCATTTAAACTGGATGAGGAATTCGTCGAGAGAATTGCTGATGGTCGCCAATTAAAAAGCATCATCACAATGGACGGAAACAAAATGATCCACAAACAACTTAGCGATCCGCCAGCAACTATCATCCGTGAGTTCGATGAAAATGATTTGGTAGAAACAATGACCATTGGAGATGTCGTTTGCGTCCGCAAATATGCCGTACAAAAATAAAAATAAAAACAATTTCAATTTTTTTATTGTCGTTTTAAATCCTGTCCAGAATCAATGATACCAGTATTCACATAAAAATTAGAAATTAAACACACTTATATGACATTTCTACATATAAACGAACGCTTTTTTATTATTTTATTTTGAACGATGACATAAATCGATACAATAAATTTTAGTTGAAGTAATAAGTGAAGCTTATTTTTTACCTAACCAAGTGGTAAGTAAAAAAATAGAAATGTAAAACATCGAATATTCTGGGTCAAATTATATACAAAAATATGTGTACAAATTTCATTAAAGAAATTTCTGGGATCTCAGCACATCAACTTCAATCTAAAGTAAGCAATATACGTAAACCTGCATAACAAATGATACACAACAAAATCGTATAATTTTATAGCGTTTTTAAATCGTTTTACAATACCAATTGGCTGAAAAAATGCATTTAACAATTAAATAGATAACGGACCTTTATGTCACAAACCATCATTTCTCTGAAATAAAAAAAAACATTGTCACTCATAATTAAAAAGCATTTCTGCAATTCAATCGCAATTTTACACCAATTGGTTTTTTGGAAACTTTCTTTGCCCAATTTTCTAAAGTAACAATATGTGAGTGTGTATGCGAACGCGTCACTGAAAATTTATATCAGAACATTTTCAGATTTACAGTATTGGGTCTCAGTGGGAACTTCAAAAAAAGTGTTTTATACTTATAGCAGTAATGTGCGGAGGGGAAGGTTTACCCCGCCCTGTGACTTGGATGAGAAATTTTTTTCGCGAAATTTTATTCGAATTTGCTAGGGTTTTTAATTTCAAAAAGTGAAGACCTTTTTTTAGCTCATCAATGTAGAAAATTGAGAAGAATTCTTTCAAGAGTTTTTGGTCTCGAGAGATTTTTTTCAGATTTGCTAGGGTTTTTCTCTGAGAAAATTCTTTCGATTTGCTAAAGATTTTCGCCTCAAAAAGTGACTTCCAAAAAAAAAAAAACGAAAATTTGTCTGATTTGCTAGAGAATTTTTGTTTTGAAAAAATCAACACATGGCTGCGCCCATGAGAGAGAAAATTTCGTCTCATTCATTTCCGCCCCATGGCCAGACATCTATTAAATGAAATCTTCACAAAAATAACTTTATCTCGTCCAGCCATCAATAATAATTATCGTTAATTGATATAACTAGTTTAAACTATAAATAAAACCAAATCTCTGCCATTAAAATAATGAAAATATTCCTGAATGCTTTACTTGTGGTCGAAGTTTTATTTCAAATCCACAATTCAGTTCTAGCTTCGGTAAAATCAAACACACATTCATGCAAAATACATATCGATATTCATGGAAATTACGACATTCCTTTCAGAAAAATGCCATAACGCTCGAAAAAGTTGTTTGTAAACATACGCCAAACACTATCAGACTTATTTTGTGATGTTAGGTACGTTAGTCGTGACCATTTGAAATTTAATGCTTGAGCAAATTTAAGCGAGCCTCTTTATGATGTATGGAATCCATACTATGTTCGGATCCGTCCAAATTTTCTCTTTCTCTTGTTGTTTGTATTATTTCGGCTAATTTTTTATTATTTGATTTCTCTAGAATAGAAACAGCATATTTAATGGTCGCATATAAAAGCAAAAATAGATGTTTTTTCAAATAGATTTGTTGTTGTAATTCATTGTAATTCATACAAACTATAACAACACATCTATGTATGTTTCATTGTATTCAAATATATTGTCAAAGCATAGCCCTGCCTTTAGGCATGGTTTGGTTTTTTGCATTTTTTTTTATTGTTATCAAAACAAAATCAACTAGAAAAAAATTCCCACCTTTGGGAAAAATTAATGCAGTAGAGGGTTAATATACGTAAACTCTTCAAGGTACTTGCGGTTTTACTGCATTTTAATCAAATATTTACATTTTCTTCGCACGAGTTTTTGAATTCCCCAAACTCAAGGTATTACTTCATTGTTCCATATTTTATGCCAAAGTCCATTTTCCATATCGTATGATATTTTCCAAACTATTTTGAGAAATCTACATGGAACGCGGTTTTATTCTATTGACGTTAGAAATAAAAAATGCATAGCATTTCACGGGGAACAGCAGTCCTCCAAGAGATGCAATACCAACATACATTTTGTCAATCATATCGTTTATTTATATTGTAATATTTATGCATTTATCAATTGAATTTAAATCAATAAAAATGTTCCACCTATATTAAAATTCCAAGTGTATTTCTTAAGTGCAGATCTAGTTTCGCTTAGTTCACAATGTAAGATCCAACTTTATTACGACCTAAGTATAATCGATTCAAGCTCAATAAACAAGTTACACAGGTCCACTTAGCAATCAATACCAACGCAATAAACTAGGGGCTTTCATGTATTTTTATTGGATGAAATTCGCGTATTATCGATGCATATTGGCGTATCGGAGAAATATCCTTCAATATCGGCGATATTCGTGTAAATCGTGAGTTTTTTTTATCACAATATACGACAATAAATACAGATATCCGACTTGTACGCAGAGTCTATAAAAGTGGAACATGGAGTTTTTTTACATAGTTTATTTGTTGTAATACAACAACAATTCTATGTAAAAAAAAACGCTGTGTTCCACTTTTATAGACTCTGCGTACAAGTCGGATTTTTATTCTGGTCCATTCATATACAGAAATATGCCGATATTTGCTAATACCCTTGTATATAAAGAGAGTGACAGCTGACGAAAGAAAGGCGAATTCAAGGCGATTTGACACTGGCAATAATTAAGATACGACATAACCTAGAACCTGGTCATTATCATTTGAAAAAAATAAAATAAAAAGAAAAGATTTCATTTGCCATGTTGGCCAATAAAACTTATAAACAAAACGATAGTATAAAGGCCTTTGCAGGCCTTTATGGTAGTTGAATGAAATGTAAAATGACAAAGATGGTAGAGAAAAGTGGAGCGACAATGGCGAATTCGATATGCCAACACTACAACTCAACGGTATATCGGCGAAATATTCGTATATTGACAAAATATTTCTTGAAAATGATAAAAATCGTAAAGATTTTTATTATCTATAAATTTTACTTATTTGATTAAATCTACAATTTTTTTTACATAAAAGCCCCTAAGCAATAATTGTATAATACAAATACAATGGACACACTTTTGCCAATCGAACGATTAAATAGATGACACCGAACATGTGTCATATATACGGCTGTATGTTATCTGGTTTTACTCAGATTGATAGTCGCTTGAAGTACAACGTGCCAGAGTTTGAACGTCTTAATATTTAATTTTTTTATAAAAATATTTTAAAATACTAATTCGAAATGTCAGAGGTTTGGAAGGGAAAAGCATATAAGATGACCGAATCGAAAAACTTCGAAAATTATTTAAAAGCATTTGGTAAGTGTACTCCACAAAAAAGAGACAGTAGAAATTTGGCAAAACATACTCAGAGCACAGAGTTGAAACTCAAATTGTTTGGATTCCATTAGACTGAGCAACAGTCCATGTCGATGTCCAGCCGCTATAAAAGTGGTCGAAACATTGATGTATGTTCGCAAAATTGTGATAACAATAATTTTACAATAACTTCGTTTTATTATAACCGGATGAAATGTTTTTTTTTTTTTAAATAAATTTTCTTATTTTGTTGTTTCAGGTGTTGGATTTATTCCACGTAAACTGGCAAACTCAGTTACTCCCACAGTTGAACTGAAAAAAGATGGTGATCAATACACTTTAGTGACGTCGTCGAAATTTAGAACAATGACCATTTCATTTAAACTGGGCGAGGAATTCGTCGAGGAATTTGCTGATGGTCGCAAAATAAAAAGCATCATCACTATGGATGGAAACAAAATGATCCATAAACAACTTAGCGATCCGCCAGCAACTATCATCCGTGAGTTCGATGAAAATGATTTGGTAACCACAATGACCGCTGGAGATGTCGTTTGCGTCCGCAAATATGCCGTACAAAAATAAAATATTTTCTATTGTCGTTGTAAATCCGGTCCTGTAAATCAATGATACAAGTATTCACATAAAAATTACAAATAAAACATACTTATATGACATTTCTACATATAAACGAACGCTTTTTTATTATTATTTTTTGAACGATGACATAAATCGATACAGTAAATTTTATTTGAAGTAATTGAAGCTAGTTTTTTTCCCTAACCAAGTGGTAAGTAAGAATTTGAACACCGAATATTGTCTGGGTCAAAGGTGATTTTTCTTTCAAATGGTGATCTTATGCAACCGGATGCAACGAATCAAGAGAAATATGTAAATTTTACTACAGAAATTTCTTAAGGATCCTATTTCTAGACCCACGATCACAATCGTTCGACGATTCTTTCATAAGAGATCTGAAGGGATCTGTCAATCATCATCAGTCGATTTTTGACTTTGAATATATGATGACTCTGACCTCAGCACATTCGACTTTAATCCAAAATGAGCAATAACCAGCAGAAAAAATAATACACAACAAAATCGTATAATTTTATAGCGTTTTAAACTCCATTTACAATACCAATAGTCTGCACCAAATTGCATTTAACAATCAAATAGATAACGCAGGTTTATGTCACAAACCATTATTTTTGTATATATACGACTGTGTGGTATCCAATTTAATTCAGTGTGCAATTCGTGGAGTCATAAAGTACAACGTGTTAAAGATTTAATTGTGATCTTAAAACGTCAATCGTCCTAATTTCAAAAAAAAAAAATATTTCAAAAAATTTAAAATGTCAGAGATATGGAATGGAAAAACTTACCAGTTGACTGAGTCAAAAGACTTGGAGAAGTTTTTAAAAAAATTTGGTAAATTGATTAAAAATGCTAAAAGAATGCATGTGCATATTGTTTGTTTTTTCTCTGTGTGTATTTGAGTGATTTTATTAATTTATTTCTAATAATTTTTGAAATCAAAATCACGGTCGTATTCTCAACTTTTTTCCATCGTACAAGAAATTGTTTTGCTTCTCCTTTTTTAACAAAAATTGTTTGCTGTGACAACATTTCTTTTTTCATTTTGTTATTTCAGGCATTCCAGAGGCATCCTGTAAACTCGCTGCCACAATAAAACCATTGGTGGAAATGAAAAGAGAAGGCGATCAATACACAATCACTACGACTTCAGTCTTTGACAAAAAGACCAAAAAAGCAACCTCTTCATTCAAATTGAATGAGAAATTCGACGATACATTTTTTGGAGATTTTAAAATAAAATCCATCGTTACAATGGACGGGGACAAAATGGTCTCAAAACTAGAACTTAATCCACCAACAACTCTCGTCCGTGAGTTTGATGAAAATAACATGATATGCACAATGACCGCTGGAGACGTCAGTTGTGTCCAGACATTTGCTATGCAAAAATAAACAAACAACCATTATCTCTGAATACACATCAATCACAAGCATCAATACTAGAAGATTTTCAGTAATCGTGTCTAGCTTTCGTGATACAAGTATTCAAAAAAGTATGTTCAGTTCAAAAATAAAGGAGCTATTGTGAATGATATATAGTTAGTTTTGTTTCATTCCAACAGGTAGCAAAATTCAAAAGAAGTTTAGAATATTTGAACTCAAATTATAATTCTCATACACACGACTAAAATTTGCTTTATTGAATGAATGCAATAGTTCATATGGGAAAATATGATTTTTGAAAATATTTTCAATCAAAAATCTCGAACCAAAATCTTTTTCACGCTAAATAAAAAAATGTTGAATAAAAATTTTGAGCTTTTGAATGAAAATCGGATTGAATGTCATTCAAAATACTGGCATTGACCTATTTTGTAATATTTTAACTCATATAAATGCAAGAGATAGACGAAATGTGCGGCTGCTAAAGGGTTTTTTTCTCGGAAAATTGCTCCTGTTTATCTTTATATATTTTTTTGATTTTACCACATTTGACCTTGATCAAGATACATTGACGCGCAAAAGAATGATGAAAAACACAATTCTATATTTTAATGCCGTTCTTTACAATGCAATATAACAATAGATGTGCAGACGCACATAATTGCAATTAAAAATTAAATAAAAAGATAACGCCTTTCGTGACATTGGGACCATCGATTTTACATTCATATATACAGCTGAGTAAAATCTAATTTTATTCAAAAGAAAATAAATAGACACATACTACGTTCCAAAGATTTAATTGTGATTCTAGAAATCTTATCATCTTAATTTAATTATTGAAAAATATTTATTCAAAATATCAGATATTTTAAATGCAAAAACCAATAAGTTAACCGAGCCGAAAAATTGCAACCATTACTTCACAGCAACAGATAAGCTGATAGAATTTATGTAAAAATACTCAAATCGTTCGAGTTCCAAATCTTGATTTCATTCAAGTTGGATGAGGAATTCGACGGTGAATATTTTGATGGTCGTAAAATGAAATGTTTCATCACAAAGGATGATGAAGAATGAAATCATCTGTGAATTCGATGAAAACAATATGATATCCACAATAACCGCCAAAAACGTCACTAGCATTCGTGCAAAAAAAACTATAATACTTCCGGATGAATTACAAACAGCAGAACTAAATGGTTTGCAGTCGAGCATTACTGAAACAATTATTGAAATGAGATTCTCTGGTTTGTGCTATTTTTTTGCTATCACTTTTGCTGTTCCAATAATATTCAATGAAAAAAAAAATGAAACAAAAAGGAAGCAAGCAATAGACGAAAAAAGTTATTTATTTTCATTTGGATGATAACTTGTTTTTTTTTTATTGAATAAAAGTTTAAAAAATCTAAAAATATCGCTGAAGAAAGCGAAATTTAATTTTGAAAACCCCTCGGCCAGCTTTCAAGTCATTTAAAACTAGCACCTTATCTTATGACTGATAAGAGATTTCTGTTCAACCTTTGTATCATCTTTACTTTAAATCAACACGAGAGCATATGACCCTGCTCTGTGAAACTTTGTATTTAATGTGCAAGGGGCATATAATTTGATAAAAAGCAAAAATAAGGCGGCCAACAGTGATAAAGTCTTTATCTAATCTCCATTCGATGTATGACGTGACAATACCATGCCCATTTAATCTAGTGGAACCAATGTGGAACAGAATAAATAATTTTAAATTTATACGCCAAATAGCAGTGCGCTACGTATAAACGCGCTCATGAGTAAATACAACAAACTGATATTTTATGTATATTTGTGTAAGTGCGTATAAGTTTAAACAACACAAACACAACTGAACTTCATTTGGCCCGCACGGTTAAACACCGCTTCACACGCACACAACACATACACGCATAGCTGGTAATCGTGCGATAGATGAATAGGCGACGCTGCTTTTGGCATTTCAAAAAAAAATTGTTCATATTGTATATATACGGCTGGGTGTTAGCTGCTTTCATTCAGAGTGTGATTGACAGACAACGTACAACGTACTCAGTGATTCTGTGCGAATTTTTTTCGAAACTATATTCTCAGTTCAGTTTTTGTAAACGTAAACTCATTCAAAATGCCAGAAGTTTGGGAAGGAAAAGCCTATAAAATGACCGAATCTGAAAATTTCGATGAATACATGAAGGCACTCGGTAAGTTAAGAGAGTTAATTTCATTCAGAAAAAACCATTTTTTTTTTCGTTCGCATTGGCACACAATTGAACCATATTGAATGATAGACGACAAAGTGAAAAGAATACGGTATCAATTGAATTACTTTGAGTACAAAATCTTAAGTGCATAGCCATGTGGCTATGAATAAAAAGCAAACATAGACAGCGATAAAAGAAAATATTGTTCAAAAAGAAATTTGAATTTTGATATTTGTTCCGTTGGGCTCGTCTTCATGAGCCTTGTGCGTCATAAAGCGTCGTAGTTGTAATTAATTTGCGATAAGTTTAAAAAAGGTCGGCGCAATAAGGAATATCGCTTCAAAATCAAGTAATTATCGTGTGCAAAATTCATAATTAGACCAAACTCCAAAGACAAAGTTCGTGTTTGAAACGTGTTCGATTCCAATGTATATGTGGCATGATGCGTTTTCAGCGCTGATTTTGCATTTGCACACAGTGGGCATTGGCAAATCTGTTTCCATAAGAATGAATTTATAGTCGACATGCGGTCCAGCCATAAGAAGCCGCATTTCCACATAGCTTTGTTCCCCATATGCAGTAGTACGTTCATTGCTTCGATTAGAACAAGGTGTCGAATACAAAAGAACAGACAGAGAGGCAAAGAAAAATGAGAGAAAAATATGGCAAAAACATTTTTTGCGTGTACAAAACAAGATTCAATAATCGTCTTAATTTGTCTTGTGCGTTCGTTCATACGTTTTTGCAGAGCTATGTTCGTTATTCGCATCACACAATCTCTATCCCATTTTTGCCGCTTGTATGTGTACAAGGAATACCCATTGCAAGGCACGCACACACACACATATATACACACATCAAGCCATTGAAATTTTAGATGGTTTTATCTTTCTCTTGTTTGCATAGTCGTAACGCACTGTTTCTCGCTCGTTCTGACATCACATTATATTCATCTAATTCATTGCGCAAATCGTTCTCTTTCTATCGTACGATATCGACTTTCATGTGGCGTGACCGACGGTTTGAATACTTCGTTTCGTTTTTTCTTTTATCTTATACAAAGAGAAGTAGAATGCTTTTTTTTTCGTTCCAATATGGTTTGCCAGGCCGGTGTGAAACGGAAAAATGTGTGTACATCGATTCAGATACACAGTATGTATCTAAAATTGGAATTTGCATTGTATATATATTATAAATCACTTGTATGCGATGATGATAAATTTAAATGTTTTTTTTTTTCGCGCTTAAAGAAAATAAAAATAAGATTGTTTATGTCGATCAGGTCACATTTCTACGTTTATATTTTGACTAGGAAAAACATTTGTTTACCACATCAGTATGACGAACAACAAAAACAAAGCGAATAAATAAATCTCGAGTTGCGCACGCCAATTTTGATATTTGAACGAAACGAAAGTGCAAAAGAAATGTACATGCGTTTATTTTCTTTCCAACTGCACTCTTCAATTCCGATAGAACGACATGAAGCGCAACAAACAGTTGCATTCTATAAAATACCGGCTTTTTTCCCTTTCAAATGGTATTCGACGAAAACTTGTTGCTTCACATAATAAAACATTCATACGAATTCAGATGCGTTAACACTCTTTTCTATTCAAATGAATTCAATTTCGTTGTTCTCGTCAATTCTCTCATCTCCCAACTTCGCCAGCGTTGTTGCTTATGGATTTTTTTTTTCTTGTTTTTTTTTTTTCTTTCGCTTGATTCTTAATTCAATTTTCCATTTAACATTGCGCTCCCGGTCTTTAGCGAAGTAATAATTCAATAAATTTCATCGAAATGTCGCCGACTTAATAAAGAACCGGGTTAATAAATGATGAATTGACGAATAAATGACTAAACGATCGTTGAATGTATCAAAGGCTTCTATTTTTGGTTGTATGATTGAATACAATGCAACACGATCTCGTTAGAATTCGGTTAATTTGTTCAAAGCACAAAGGCATTTATAAATGCCTCAATTGAGACGTAAAATTGAAATACGGTTTTTATTCAAGTATTCAAGTTAAATGTGCGAACTACCGAGGAAAATTACACACATAAATGACATGTCGTGAACGATTCACAGCAAAAAAGCGAGAACAATTTGATTAAATTTCTCTTGTTTGCATTTTTGAGCTCGACATTCAGGCCCAACGACATTTAATGGTTTATTTCCGATTCAATGGCAAGCGCACAAAGACACTATCTTTCGTGACAATTGTTTGCTTGCATTGTTTGGCACCCGTATCATCGAACACAGATTGATAGGACACAATGAACATTATTCCGTCTGTGCTGTGGACGTTAAAATAAATAATACGAAAAAAACATGATAAACACTGACTTCGAAAATTTAAAAATAAAGTTTTAAAATGAAAAATTATTTGAAATCAATACATTTTATTAATAATTTTTTTTTTTTTTTCATTTTTTTATCTGGGTATAGGTGTTGGATTTGTTCTTCGCAAGATCGGAAATTCAGTGACTCCAACCGTCGAATTGAAAAAAGACGGCGATACCTACACCTTGGTAACATCGTCAACATTCAAAACATCAACGATCTCATTCAAATTGGGCGAAGAATTCGATGAAGAAACATTGGATGGTCGCAAAGTCAAGAGCGTCATTACATTGGATGGTAATAAATTGGTGCAAAAACAAGGTGGCACACCACCATCCGACATTATCCGTGAGTTTGACGGAAATAATATGGTGGCCACGATGACCGTTGGTGAAGTTACTTGCACTCGCAAATATGCCGCCCCAGAATAATCAACTCACCATTTTTCATGACACTCAGTATTCATTCGCAACACAACAAAACACAACAACAACAACAACAACAACAAAAGATGAATAAATTTTTGAGAGAATAGAAGAAGACAAAAATGGAGCACATTCCAATGTAAAGAGAATGTTGATAAAATGCAAATACCATCACATACATGCGATCGATACGTCAGGAAAAAAAACAACAATAACAACATCACCATTACAAAAATTCATTTGGACTGGATTGACTTGAAGCTATATTATCTTTGGAAATATTATTTTTAGTTTGTTTCAAATGCGAGCATTATCTTTGTTTTGGCTTTAAATACGAAAAAACATACCACGTACTGATATTTCATGGAAAAATAATACTGAAACCGCGATACCAAAATATTCTCTTGACTTTTTTTTAAAAAAACCAATCTATTTTTTGTTTATTTTTAAATGAAAACATTGAAATGATCATCAAATTTTTTGCTCTCCTTTCTCTCTATTTTGCAGTAATTTCTTTTTGAAGAAAGTAAAACAAAACAAAAAAAAAACTGTAGCTTTGTGGAAAATGTACACTTAATGTACATTATTTTTTCATTTCTCATTTCTATTTGATACCAAAACTTACAAATAAATAATAAACTTCATGAATTGAAGACAAATATCGGTGTTTGACTCATTTTCTTTATTTTTGTAATCGTTTGCGATAATCGTTTTTAAACATGGTTTTTTTTATTCTGTGCATTTCCTTAGAAGTTATTATGCAACCAAAATTGATTACGGCGATCGATTTTGAGATAAGCTATTGGGTATTGATATAAGCCTTAATACAATAAAATTCAAATTTAAACGAACTTCGCTTAGTCATTTTACTCACGAGTTCCACAAATATGCGTTCTACACATCGGCCCAATATATCGTCGACGTTTCACATTCAAGCCGTTAGATGACGCTCGCATCGAATAACCATCGAATGTCAGTGTCACTAATGAAACACATTGAAGTAATTAGACAATAGATATTTTGTTGTTGAACGCAAAGCGAAAGAAAAAGTTTTCTATTTTTGTTGATTTAACGTGATTTTGTCGATTTTTTTTTGTACAGTACCTTCTAGGAATCAAAAACGATGGCATCAACACAAAATGGTGAGTATTGATAAAAACAATTCAAATCATCGTAATATATTACCGAAAAAACGTTTTAAGTTGTAAAAAATATGTATGTTTTTGTGTATTAGAATTGGATGTCAAACATTTGGATGACGCATCGGATAATGAATTTCACGATGCAGAAGAAGAAGCATTAGAGGAAAAATTTTCGGATGCTCTGGATTTAAATGAATCATTCGAAGCAGAACCAGAGCCTGAGCCTGAACTCAGCGAAGAAGAATTGCAATCAAACAAAGAAAAGGCTGAACAGTTAAAACAAGAAGGCAACACCATTTTCAAAAATGCAGACTATGAAAAGTCCATTGATATATATACCGAAGCAATTGCGATTTGTCCGAAAAAATGCACCGTTGAACGGGCAATACTGTTTAGCAATCGAGCAGCAGCTCACAAACATCTTGGCGCACAAAGTGTGGCCATCGAAGATTGCACGAAAGCCATTGAAAACAATCCAGATTACATCAAAGCATATACAAGGTAAGATGATGAACATTGAAATTAAATAATTGATGATTGATGTTTGTGTGATTCATGTATTGCAGACGAGCAGCGCTCTACGAAGAAACCGATAAACTCGATGAATGCATGGCCGACTACAATAAAATACTTGAACTCGACCCAAGCAACATTGAAGCAAAAACACATGTGGCACGCCTGCAGCCGATTGTCAACGAAAGAAATGAACGTCTCAAAGAAGAAATGATGGGCAAACTCAAAGATTTAGGCAACATGATATTAAAACCATTCGGACTGTCAACAAACAATTTTCAATTGCAACAAGACCCGAGCACTGGCTCTTATTCCGTTAATTTTCAACAAAATCCACCACGTTCATAGTCTTTAAATTTGCCATTTATTTTGTAAATTACACAAAAAATTATATTTAAAACAAAAAAACAACAGATTCGACAAATGATAAATAAGTTTCGCTCGTATGGAGTGAATATTTTAAATTTTATTCACTTTTCGTGATCAATAAAATTGTTAAGAATTTAACAGTATAAATGTATTTTTTGATAACTAATAACGGCGCATTGATTGCAATAGTGTAAATTTAACCAAGTACTTGACCTTAGCTTGTTCCTTTTTGTAGACAACGAAATCGTTGTAATCAAAAGATGTGGTGATCGTTTTATTTTTAACCGGTTTTCCCCAGGCAATTTTCACGCCATCCAACAATTTATTCGATTCCGTTGATATCTTGCCAACGCCCCAAACGGAATGTTTATCATCGGGAAGTTCATCGATTCTATCTGAATCATAGTATGTTAAAGACTCTCCGAGAGCCACTTCGCACAATGCTATTATGCCAGTGTGATTTGTTTGCTCAGTATAACAATAATGCATTGCGTTGGCGAAGAAGTCAGAAAAGTACAATCCTTTCCCAAGCATACAACCAATCACAAGTGCTTCCGGCGGAGCTATGCGCAATCCATTGGCCAAAATTCCATTGAAATTTGTTATACGGCTTCCATGCCATAGCATTTTACGATTTGGTAAACGTCTATAGGGTTCAAAAGAAACATCGTCATTTTCACGTTGAATCTTAAAAATGTCGTCGATTTTAATATCATTCTCTCCTCGCGTATAGTCAATATGTTCGATGATGGTTTGAAATTCGTCGGAATTTCTTTCAAGCGGTTCAATTTTATTTTCGAGCTTTTCATACCAATTATCCAAAAGGCAATCGATCTTGTCACCAGTGGCCTTGAAAAACAACTCATAGGTAAATTTGATTGAAAACAAATTCATCAGTAGATCAGCTTTTTCATGCAGCTGCTTCATGCAAGTGATTACATTACTACTGCACACTTTGTGTGGTATCAACGAATAGAATTTATTCGATGCTTCAATCAATGTTCCTGGTGATTCGTTTTCTTCAATGATCTGTGCGATTTTTTCCAACATTTTCCCTGCGTTTTTTAGCTGATTTCTTTCAATTTTACCAAGTGGCATTTTGATGAGGTCAAGACCAAATTTTACCATCACCGCACTCATCAGTTCTTTATCGATTAATAATTTGATCAAGTTTTGAACTGATTCGGGCAAAGCACTGTTTTCAGGTTCATGCACAGCGCGATGAGCAGCGTCTTCAACGTCTTTGGTGGAAGCTGGACAATGAAAATATTTTCCATATAACTTTTTGAAATTCGGCGTAAAAAAATCATTTCTGGTCTTTTTTTTATATGTGTCATAAAACTTTTTGCGTGCTTCCTCCAAGTTATTGTATTCTTTGCAATCATCACCGCCGCTTGTGTCGTTTATTCGGCCCCAAGATCGATAGATCCAATACCTATGATATAAAAAAATGAAATGACATTTTAAAATATAACAACTACTCTGAATTAATATGGGCTTACTTTCTTGGATTACTAGAATCGGATTCCAAAAGTTGAAGTATGTAGTAAGAGTTTTTATTCACTTGGACAGCTAAATCAATTTTATTCAAAGGCGCTGAATGGTGTTTCCCGTTTTCCATATAAACATGTGCAATATCCTGTAAATTCGATCTCGGATGAACAATACTCCCATCTTATTCAACGAAAAAAAAAACCATTAAATTATTATAATATATTTTTTTAATTTTTTTTTACCTTTAAGTGTCATTTCAACTTCGATAAAATATTTCTTTGAAGCTGAATCCGGCTTTGTTGTCGATTTAGTTATGGAAGTGCATGGTGAGTTTGGTAACTTGACGGCTCTATGTTGAACTTTGAACTCAACATTCAAAAAGGCACATTCATCACGAATTAAGGCAGATATTTGAACTGGACGCCTTTCTGGTTTATCGACGGTGTTAGTACACCTGCCAAAGCCTGAGATGTATCCCCTACATCGATACTTTGAATTACCATCAAAAATGAATCTTCCATTATTGCAATTCGTCTCTTTACACGGCTCAATCGCTCCAAAATAAATAACATCCGTGACATGATATAAAATCTGGTGCAAAGAGTAATATTTTTAGATAGTGAAAAATAATTACATTTTTTGAATTTACTTCGACCTTTCTACGTGGAATGCACTGATCATTTTCTTTAAGTATTTCCTTTTGCCAAAAGTCGTCGAGATTTGATTTCTTTATTTTCTCGAGTAGTTGGTGGAATTCTTCATTTTGAGTGTGAATCAAAGCATCTAATGAAAGCCCTGCTTCCAAGTTTCGTTTAACTTTTTTCATTGCTGGTGTGTCGCTGACGTCATCGTCTGTGCTGTTCACCGACCTTTTTTACGGTTTTTTTGCTCGTTTTCGATTCTTCTTGTTTGCATCTGCATAAAAGTAATTTGAAACAGAAAAACCTGTTTATAATACTGTAAAAAAAGTCGAATAAAATTAACATACTGATTAATTCATTGAGTGTTTTCTGATCTTCATTGCGTAGTGTTGCGAATCCATCGATCCAAAATTGCGATCTGGGACGACGTATCTCAAATAAACAATGTGGATGATAGTTCCGTTGTTCATCACCATCAAAATGTTTTGACTAACGAAAATCAAAAATAAAAATGTGAAGAAAACCTTTTTGGCAAATTCGGTTTGAATCAAACCTTTTTTAAGTGAACAAGTCGAAGAACGCCTTTTTTAATTTTTTCTTCACATCTTTTGCATTTGGAACTTTTGCTTTTCGAATATTCAGCTCGAATTTTTTGCTTGCCCTCCATACTTGAGAGATAAGACACTTGTAATTGGACGTGTTTAGATACAAACAATTCGACTTAGAATTACACAACAGTAATATTTGTATTATACGACACTCTATGCACTAATGTACACCAACCAAATTAAATACATATTTAATTAATTTAAAATTCATAATATAAGCGTCGCTGAAGGAATGAATATAATTGTCAAAATTCCATCACTGTTACACATCACACACACCACCATCTTACACCACTTCATTTATACGTACTTGGGATATATAACTACAAAAGGATTAACACCATCGCAAGTGTATACACAATCATTTTCTACAAGCATGGTGCATTTTCATTGATATCCAAGTGTAGGTTGAGAATAGTGATGAAGCGGTTTATATTTAATTTCAACTCTTTTATTTTTTATATCGTCGAAATGAAAATTTACGAAGAAATATATTTTGAATTAATTATATTTGGAATTAAAATCTTATCCAAGACTGAATGCATTTAGCAAAAAAGGCCAGTGGTCAAGCTCCATGAAATTGCTGATAGCGTGTACAATAAGAATATAGAATTTCAATTTTTGTTATTAATTAACATGAATTTGTTTTGTAGCCCGATGATGATTTTAAAAAGAGCACAAAATATTGATATCAAGTTTGTTTACCTTTTCATAACAATAAAAGATACAATCAAAAATTCGATAAATTTTAAATATTCAAATCATAGCCAAAAGATAGGTCGACGAAAATTAATGCATCTCACGTTGTCCAAAAAAATCTAAGAGAAATTCAATGACAAATTAGAAATAGCATGCATATGTTCGAACTTCGAAGGTGGGCATTCACTTATGTGAAAAATGCACATTATTATTTTAAGCACGTCAATATTTCAACAATTTGCATCGACTGTACTTGAAAAAGTCATAAAATCGCCGAAAAAACAACGCTGCAAATTTCATGTTCAATAAAAATTCGCGAATGTTCTTCTCATTTGTTTTGGTTAAATTTGAATCATGTCACAGCGGCAACTAGGTCCATCTATATTTCAATAAATTGACTACTGAATGAACTGTCAACTATGTTGTGCGGCTGTAGTCAAACCGTGCTGTGTGTATAACTATTATCATCGAAGTAAGAAAGAAAAGAGAATTGACTCGGCTTGACCTTCAACAAGGTGACCGATTTCGTTCATTTCGTTGAGCTCTACGAGCAGTGCTTTGCTCGTTGTCGGCGTGAATGCATCAAATTTGTTGAAAGCTCGCGGTGCACAATTTAAACATACTCTCGTAAAGTGTTTGATTTCGGTCAAATCATTTTTATTCAAAGATTTTATTTTGTTTGCAACGAAATTCAATTCCATTCAGTCACACTTTTTAATTGATAAGAAAAGAAAAAAAGAAAATCTTTAGAAAAATGACGACGCCACAGTCAGATATTGAAAAGCGAAAACAGATCAGTGTTCGTGGTATTGCTCAAGTTGAGAATGTGGGTGAAGTTAAGAAAGGATTCAATCGTCATCTCCATTATACTTTGGTGAAAGATCGTAATGTGGCCACACCACGAGACTACTATTTCGCTTTGGCCCATTGTGTTAAAGATCATATGGTATCGCGATGGATTCGTACCCAACAGTAAGTTGTTTTGATTTTTGTTCATTTTCGGTTTTGCCAAAGTGATAAAAGTATTTTGTCCTTGAATGCTCTTGTCATTTTTACGCATGGCGCGTGTCATCTGTCACAAAATATTTTCGATACGCTTATTCGGAATATTCCATTGTTTTAAAAATGTAAAAATATATAGTACAAACTCTCACCATTTCCTTCTCATTGTTTATTTTTAGATACTATTATGAAAAGGATCCAAAAGTAAGTGTTATGCATCGATTTGACTTATTTGATTTATTGCTTTTAATTTCTATCGCATTCGCTGTCTCGCTCTATCTCTGCTTGTCTCGCAAAATGTTTTATCAACGAATTTGGAGTTTTGATTTGTGCGCTATTGATATAATATGCCAAGAGAGAAAGAGACGATAATCAGCTGATGACATGATAGTTTTATTCAAATGTGATAAACGATATGCCGGTTATTAAATTGATTCGCTCATCAAAATATCACGTTTATTATATTATACAAACGTCAATCATTGCATGATTATTGTATAATCAATGCGTGCTTCTTGTATATGCAAAAAAAACACAATTTCTTTGCATTTTCCATTGGCAAATGTTGTGTTCCATAAATTGACAGAACAAAGTCGAAAGAGAGACATGTAAAGCCTGCGAGGCTGTGCGCGCAACAATCCAATTCAAACGAAAATGATATTATTTATTAATTTCAAATTGGAACAAGGTCAAAAAGGTCGTAGTTTTGTGTGATTGTAAACAATCATTAAAAAGTAGTGCACACGCACAACGTGATCCTTACACAATTATTTTCGCATTGAGAATAGGACTCTTTAAATCATTTTTATTAGATTTATCTCTCTATTTAATTACGATGACAAAAGATTAAAGAATCATTTCGCTCACCAAAATGGCTAATCAACTTGGTGACAATATTCAATTTTACAGCTGATTCAATATAATCATATTTTATTGGAGCAAGTCTCTTTGTTCAGTCACACGTAGCATACAAAGTTTCTAGTTTATTATGTAAGACATTGCGAGAAGAAAAAAAATTAGAATGTACATATGCTTGAGTGTTGATCACCGCTGTTACCGCTGTGAGAATCGCCCGTTGAGAAATACACGAACGTGTGTGTTTGTATGTTGTGTGTTATTTACTCGCTCATTTTCTCCTTGTGGCTGTTGACCCATAGACTTATTGCGGTACGTTCATAGCGTTGGTGATAATCATTAGGCAAAACAATAAAGGCTGATTTCTTTTTCTCTCTTTTTCTCGCAGACTACGTCTCTCTTTCTCTCTCTCTCTCTCGCTCTCGATCGTTTGTTCTCTCTCTCTCTCTCTCGGCATATTCGATTTGTTTTTATTTGTGAGCTGTCAAGATGTTTTGAACACGCACTCACCGTACGTTCAAACCTATATGCATTCAATATAAAAATAATATTCGCTGTTGCGCGCGACAAAATTACTTGTTTTCATCTTACTCGAATGTCGACAAAACTATCATTATTTGTTTTAGAAATAGATTTTAAAAGCTTAAATGATTGACAGCAATAGCGATTACATCATCAAAATTGCAATTCCAATAAGGGAATAATTTTGTTGATATTCGATTGTCGCGAATATTTGTTCTCGTCTCTCTATTTGGTGCCCGATATTGAACTCGATTGATAAGCTACTGACATTTGGCCATAGTCGACTGCACTTTCTAACATAAATACGAAATGAACAACAACATTACAAAAATAAATAGCATAACAAACAGTGCACTTTTGCCATCATCGTTCTACTCTACATTTGATAAGAAATGTCTTTACTCAAGGACTGTTTTTATGCTCTAAAATTGAAAGAAATGCCGAAGAAAGACGTCGCCGTCATCGGTGCTATTATCTTTTGCGGTAAAGTCGCATAGAATACAGAAATGTTTTCTAAACGGCGCCAACATTTTTTTTCCGCATAATTAGAACAAATTAGGTACTCTGATTAACTCCAAAAGCAGATAGAGACAAGTGGCAAAGAATGAGATTAAATGCTTGAATAATGAATGAAATCAATGTTAACACATGATAATTTCGTAAAAAATTTCTAGCGTGTTTACTACTTGTCCTTGGAATACTACATGGGTCGTGCATTGCAAAACACCATGATCAATTTGGGAATTGAAGGTGCATGCGATGAAGCCATGTACCAAATGGGTCTTGACATCGAAGAATTGGAAGAATTGGAAGAGGATGCCGGTATTTTTTTAATGTTATTTATTAATTTTTTAAAAATATGTTATTATTTAGAATTTTATATTTTGATTTAAAAAAAAAAAATAATTTTTAGGATTGGGAAATGGAGGTCTTGGACGTTTAGCAGCTTGTTTCCTCGACTCAATGGCAACACTCGGTTTGGCCGCTTATGGTTATGGTATTCGTTATGAATACGGTATCTTTGCCCAAAAAATTATCAACGGTGAACAACAAGAGGAGCCAGATGATTGGTTGCGTTTTGGTTGCCCATGGGAAAAGGCACGTCCCGAATTTATGCTTCCAGTTAACTTTTACGGTCGTGTCATCGATACACCAGATGGCAAAAAATGGGTTGACACCCAAGTCGTCTTTGCCATGCCTTACGATAATCCAATTCCCGGTTATCGCAACAACTATGTGAACACCCTTCGTTTGTGGTCGGCCAAGAGTCCAATCGATTTCAATTTGAAATTCTGTAAGATATATTTTCATGCATTCCAAAAAGTGTTTGAAAATTTTCTCCAAAACTAAATTGTTTTCTTTTTTTTTTGTTTAGTTAACGACGGTGACTACATTCAAGCTGTGTTGGATCGTAATCTTGCCGAGAATATTTCCCGTGTCTTGTATCCAAATGATAACTTCTTCGAAGGCAAAGAATTGCGTTTGAAACAAGAATACTTCATGTGCGCCGCCACATTGCAAGACATCATTCGTCGTTTCAAAGCATCGAAATTCGGTTCACGCGATGCCATTCGCACCGATTTCGCACACTTCCCCGACAAAGTAGCCATCCAATTGAATGACACCCATCCATCGATGGCCATTCCAGAATTGATGCGCATCTTGATTGATGTTGAAAAATTGTCATGGGAACAAGCATGGGATATCACTACACGCAGTTGTGCATACACAAATCACACCGTTTTGCCAGAGGCTTTGGAAAGATGGCCGGTTACAATGCTTGAATCGATTTTGCCACGCCATTTGGAAATCATCTATCACATTAACTTTTTGCATCTAGAAAATGTAAAGAAAAAATTCCCAGACGATATGGATCGTTTGCGTCGTATGTCTTGTGTTGAAGAGCACGGTGACAAACGTATTAACATGGCATTTTTGTCAATTGTTGGTTCGCATGCTGTTAACGGTGTTGCTGCATTGCATTCGGAAATTCTTAAAGCCGATTTGTTCAAGGACTTCTATGAATACCAACCGGAGAAATTCCAAAACAAGACTAACGGTATTACACCGCGTCGTTGGTTGTTGCTTTGCAATCCAGGTTTGAGCGAAATTATTTGCGAGAAAATCGGCGAAGAGTGGCCAGTTCATTTGGAAAAATTGGCTGGATTGAAGAAATTCGCCAAAGATCCGAATTTCCAACAACAAATTGCCAAAGTTAAGCAAGAAAACAAAGTGAAATTGGCCGCTTTGCTTGAAAAAGACTATGGCGTTAAAGTGAATCCACAATCTATGTTTGACATTCAAGTCAAACGTATCCATGAATACAAACGTCAATTGCTCAATTGCTTGCACATCATCACCTTGTATAATCGCATCAAGCGTGATCCAACCGCCAACTTTGCACCAAGAACCATCATGATTGGTGGCAAGGCTGCACCGGGTTACTATACAGCCAAACAAATTATCAAATTAATTTGCGCCGTTGCCAACGTTGTCAATAACGACCCGATCGTCGGCGATAAACTCAAAGTTATCTACTTGGAGAACTATCGTGTTACATTGGCCGAGAAAATTATGCCAGCCGCCGATTTGAGCGAACAAATTTCAACAGCCGGTACAGAAGCATCGGGCACTGGTAAGCATACGGCAGTTACAAGAGACTTTTTCAATTCAATTTACTTAACATTTTTATGTTATTTCATTGTAGGTAACATGAAATTCATGTTGAACGGCGCACTGACAATTGGCACATTAGACGGCGCTAATGTAGAAATGGCAGAAGAGATGGGACGCGAGAATATTTTCATCTTCGGTATGACTGTCGAAGAGGTTGAAGATCTCAAGCGTAAAGGTTACAATGCATACGACTACTACAATCGCAATCCAGAAATCAAACAAGTCATCGACCAAATCTCATGCGGCTTCTTCAGCCCGTCCAATCCAAATGAATTCAAAGGCATTGCCGACATTCTACTCAAATGGGACGGCTACCTATTGCTCGCCGACTACGAAGATTACATCAAGACACAAGATCTTGTGTCAAAAACTTATCAGGTGAATTTCATGCAATTTTAATTGTTCGTTTTAGAGAGGCCAAAACTAATATCGCTTTTTATTTGTATTACAGAACCAAAAGAAGTGGTTAGAAATGGCCATCCATAACATTGCATCCAGCGGTAAATTCTCCAGCGATCGAACAATCGAAGAGTACGCTCGGGAAATTTGGGGAGTGGAACCAACATACGAAAAATTGCCAAAACCATCCGAACCACGAGATGCATAAGCAATTTATTGACAGCCACTGCCATCTCAATTTAGCACAAGAGATTTTTATTTAGAGATTGTTACCAAACAACACATCTATATACATCGGCTCTAGCGAGCCACATCACATCGTCGATTTAAATGTATCCAAAGCATAGAACAACATCGATAAATTATTGTTTTTATTTTTTTATTATTTTAACTTTGTTATGTAAATATATAAAAACGAACGATTAAACTATGCCTGGTTCCATCAAGTTAGTTTGATAGTTTAGGAACATCAAATATTTAGAAAAGAAAAAAAAAACCATAAAGACGTTATTCATATTATATCCAATGTCTGATCAATATTTTTGTAAATTTTATTTGTTCCTCTTTTTTAAAATTAAAATTCATATTCTCTATTTCATTCGCTTCAATTAGAAACTATATTTATATGAAATTTTATCAGAATGAAAATAAATAAAGCAATATTGCCATTTGGGTTAAAAGCCGAAAAATCTGAGGAATTTACATCTATTTTAAAAGGTTAATTGATATCATGAAAGTACATGCAAATAAGGTATATATTTCTAACTGCCGTAAGGAGGTTTATGCCCAGGTAAGATGGATTTGTGAAGAAACAGTTTATTTTTTGATATTTAATATTTTAAAAAAGACCATTATTTCGCTTATAAATATTTTTTGTCGGGTAAAAAGTGGTAATTTTATTTTAGAGCTGTTCATTTTTTTAAGAATCGTAGTTGAAAATTACAATTTGAAATATAATGCACTTTAAATCGAAGAAGTTCTCAAAAGTACTGCTAACTTCAGTAAATTGGTAACAAATTTTACAGTAGATAATTTTTTATTATTTTATGCCAAAGAAATGAAATTATGACAAAGATCCTCATTATAAAATCCATACGTACAATTAATATTGTATATTTGAAAAAAATTAGATATGAGAAAATGGCTTGATTCGCATTTTATTTGCTATTTAAATTTTTCGCCTTTACAATGAAGATACATGGAACTAGAATCGGTGATTTTATTTTTATTTCTCATTAGAACATAACAATTGCATTTATTTCAAAGAAATTAAAAAAATTGAAAGGAATAACATTACAAATAACTTGTTGAATACGAGCATTTTAACAGTTTTTTTAACGTTGATTTGAATTTGCGGTAGAAATATTCATTGCCGCTAAAACGTTTTTGCACCGTAACCGGCAGATGTACAAATCTACACAACGTGTATAAAATTCGACGTTGGTAACACCGCAAATGACAGAGTGTATAAATACAACTGCCCATCGAACATGGCGTCATTATTCGTCTTGTTTTAGAAGAGCACACATTGCGACGCTTACCTAAAGCAAACTCAAACGGTTTTTACAAATTAAACAAATTTTCTGTTAGTGAAATCTCAAGTGAAAAAAAAACTCAATCAAGATGGTAAGTGAGACATTTTCTCAATAAATCATATAAAAAAATATAGAATTAATATAAAATTATTCGAAATACCTATGAAATATATGAAACACGAAAAAAAATGTGAAAGTTCCGCGAAGTAGCTATAATTAGATGAGTCATATTCGACAAAAATAATTTTTCGGCTTTTTCACACAATGTTTGCCGGTAAAATACTAAAAATATACATTTTTCCTCGAACATTTCAATTAATATTCAAGAAAAATTCGAAAAAATCATTATTTTTTATGAAAAATGATATTTTTTTCACACATTCGGTCGATGTGAAAGAATTTTTTTTCCGTTGCTTTTTTTTTCCATGATGGCGGCTGGAAAAAAATTTATGTCTTGGGCGTATTCAATTCGTTCAGTCACATTATGAACATGGTTATAGACCGTGCTATAGCTGTGTGGTACAGCACTTTCCATTTGCCTTTCGTTGCTGTATTGCCGCGTATGCGTACTTAATGCACCATGATTCATGTTGCTCGTTTTGAACATTGCATTGAATTAAATCTGTCTTCGGTTAAAATTCAATACCAAATATGGTCATGTTTTTATTTTTTTTCGATTCGCATAGGCGGTACACTGATTTTTTTGTTTGTTTCTTGCATGAAATGACCATATGTGCGCCTCAGTTAAGTAGGTTGAATTTAAATATTTCATCTTGATGGCAATGCCATATTTGGTGCGGTTTTTATATGGGAAGATGACGTCATGCCCTTCAACACAATTGCCATATTTATTTCGCTATGTTTTTTTCACATTTACATTTCGCGAATGTTCCACAATTATAAATCACGAATGTTCAACAAACTTGAATGTAATTAAACATTTTTTTTCGATTTTTTTCAACAGCGTGAATGTTTGTCAATCCATGTCGGACAAGCTGGTGTCCAAATCGGTAATGCCTGCTGGGAATTGTACTGTCTTGAGCACGGTATTCAGCCAGATGGTCAGGTAAATATCTTGTTTTTTTCTTCCTTATTTGTCTCTGCATTAATGCAAATGAATGCAACGATTTTCTTTAAAACTTCACAAAATGTATGCATTACATAAACTTTTTTTGCATTTTAAAAACAGATGCCATCAGACAAGGCTTTGGGAGGTGGTGATGATTCGTTCAGCACCTTCTTCATGGAAACTGGTGCCGGCAAGCATGTTCCACGTGCTGTTTTCGTCGACTTGGAACCAACTGTCGTCGATGAAGTTCGTACCGGAACCTATCGTCAATTGTTCCATCCAGAACAATTGATCACTGGCAAAGAAGACGCTGCCAACAACTATGCACGTGGTCACTACACCATTGGCAAAGAAATTGTTGACTTAGTCTTGGACCGTATTCGTAAATTGGCCGATCAATGCTCAGGATTGCAAGGTTTCTTGATCTTCCACTCATTCGGTGGTGGTACCGGTTCAGGTTTCACCTCATTGTTGATGGAACGTTTATCGGTTGACTATGGCAAAAAATCAAAATTGGAATTCGCTGTTTACCCAGCACCACAAGTTTCAACTGCTGTTGTTGAGCCATACAACTCAATTTTGACCACCCATACCACATTGGAGCACTCGGACTGTGCATTTATGGTCGACAACGAAGCAATATATGACATTTGCAGACGTAATCTTGATATTGAGCGTCCAACATACACCAACTTGAACCGTTTGATCGGACAAATCGTATCGTCAATCACCGCATCACTTCGTTTCGATGGTGCCCTCAATGTTGATTTGACTGAATTCCAAACCAATTTGGTACCATACCCACGTATCCATTTCCCATTGGTCACCTATGCACCAGTCATTTCGGCTGAAAAAGCATACCATGAACAATTGTCGGTTGCCGAAATCACCAACGCTTGCTTCGAGCCAGCCAACCAGATGGTCAAATGCGACCCACGTCACGGCAAATACATGGCCTGCTGCATGTTGTACCGTGGTGATGTCGTACCAAAGGACGTCAACGCTGCTATTGCCACCATCAAGACCAAGGTTTGTATTTTGCATTCTTTATGCCATAAAATCAATACATTTACATACAATTACCCCCTTTTCCTTACATTATTCACGTTTTTTATCGATTTTTGCCATTACTTATGAACTTTTTCCACATTTTTAATTGCAGCGTTCAATCCAATTCGTCGACTGGTGTCCAACTGGTTTCAAAGTCGGTATCAACTACCAACCACCAACCGTTGTTCCAGGCGGTGATTTGGCTAAGGTTCAACGTGCCGTGTGCATGTTGTCCAACACCACAGCCATCGCTGAAGCTTGGGCTCGTTTGGACCATAAATTCGACTTGATGTACGCCAAACGTGCATTCGTTCACTGGTATGTCGGTGAAGGTATGGAAGAAGGTGAATTCTCCGAGGCCCGTGAAGATTTGGCTGCTCTTGAAAAGGATTACGAAGAAGTCGGCATGGACTCCAACGAAGGAGAAAACGAAGGAGCTGAAGAATACTAAGCTTCAAAACATAAACGCATCTTAACTTCACGCAAGTTAATATTAAATGCACGATACAATAAATATGAGTTCGACAAAAAAAAACATATATAATCGAAAAGACAACATAAATGCATGAAAAACATTTAGACATGCAAACAAGAGCATATTGATTTTTTTTACATCCATAAAACAATAAAAATTGCCCACACGGACCATATTAACAACAACAACAAAAACCCGCAATCTTTTTTCTTTTTTAATTTATTCAATTTTCAGATGGTTTGTTGGATTTAGAAAGCGTGAGTTTTACTTTGGAATATAATACGATTTTCTCTTTGGCTTCTTTGCAATTGTTCGAAAGTTTTTTGAAAATGGATTCCGACGTTTGGCTAAAATTACAATTTATCTGGGAATTCCAGTGCAGCAAGAACATGAATACTTGAATAATCTTTGATCTTGTTTTTCTTGTATTCTTTGCAACATTTTAACTGCATTTATTACAAAGCACATAGAGACCACATCAATATTTTTTTCTGAAATATCAATGTTTATTCCATCTTTTGAATGTAACATGTAAAATAATTTGTTCCAAGTCACAAATTTATTTCAGTTATTCTTTTTTCCAAATTCGTCATATAAAAAAACTTTCTTCACAGGCGTTGAATGCGTTTAAAATATACTTTGAATACACTTTTCTCTTCAATTTCAAATCAGTTTTTACTAACTTACACAGGTCGATGGAAATTATTATAAGCAATAATCTATTAGCAATTGAAACTAACAAATTAAATTAACAATATAATACTTGAAAAAATGAAATAAACGTGTTCTCCTGTTGATATCTTCAGATGAACTTGTCTCAGACACACACTTTTACAGAAATCGATAGCTAAAATACAGAAAAAAATATTTGGAAAATGAGGGAAAGAAGAATCCGCACCCGATTTGCTATACCGTACCCGAACTCGGACGGACAGAGTAATAAACTCGGACGTCCGTGTTCAAGTTTCAACACTTTTTCAAAAAAATATGCAAGATCTATTTTCGGACGGACACTAACGGTCCCGGACGCGTCCGTTGACAACAGTATGTATATGTGCACATAAATATGTATTCTTTATTTCGTATTTATGATTGATTAATGATTTGGTGTTTGCCGTCGTTTATGACAAACGTGTGTATGCTTTTTTTCTTACTTCGTTGCGGTATCATTGGTTGGATCCCGTTTTTTGCATTTAGATACCTTTTATCACCTCTTTTTTCAAACTCGCTCTGGTTGCGCATGCCGTGAAAAGGCAGCAGCTACCAGTAACACTGTTACGTTGATGCCTATGGTTGGACGAAATGCACATAAGTATACTACTGATATTCGTTATATTCATAATATTTTTTTTATTGCAGTGTATTTATATTACCTCTCATTTTATGTTTCATTTTTTTGTTTAAAAAAGATTAGTTTCTTCCAATAGAAATGCCTTGCTAGAATAAAAAGAAACCGGCACTTATATCAAAATGGGGACAGCGCTCAAAAAATGTATTTAAATGAAGAAAAAAAAATCGATAATTCAGCAAAATTTCTAAGAAAAGATAAAAGAAACCATAAATGCATCAAAAATCCGGAATCCAAATTGTATACGTGACCCCATGCATCTATTTTAAGAATTTGTCTATAAAATCATAGGCAGCTGTTAATGTTTTTCATGCTTTGTCTAGCTGCTTTCTATTTTTAGCCGAACCACTCTGAATGTACATACATTTTGTATACTTCAGTTCAATTACACGATAATATGATCAAAATTTTAAACGAAAATCATATTGTTCACATGCACAATTTCGCTTGGAGCGAAAAAATCTTTGCCATATAAAATGCTTACCTCGCCAAAATCGTGCTCACATACAATTTATAAAGTCGAATATTGCGTAGTCTGTATGTTTAAAATGGAATGATGATTTAATCTCTGGGAGGTTGTAGTCGTTTTTTTTGTCAAAGTTAAAAAAAACCGATTCGAATTTTTATTCAAAAAATTTTTTGCATGAAGAAAAGTGAGAGAATGAAAGAAACATAGAGTCTTCTATTAAAACATAGATTTGGCTTTTATTTTATTTCGCATTTAAACCAACAGCTAAGACAACAGTTAAGGCAATATCCATATAGAAAAAAAGGTGTCCTCTTCATTTCATTTGATTAAATTAACTATATTTTGCAGTGTTAACAATACACATACTCACATTGTGATTTATTTTAATTTATTTTATTTATTTTATGTGAAAATAGACGGAAAGAGAAAATAAAATAGATATTTTAATCTAAAAATTATAGGCTGCTGCTTCAGATAAACACTAAACGAATGTTACAAATAACAATAATAATTCATAATAATTTCACTTAAATAGTACTGTAGTTAAATAGCAATCCATCGTCAATGTAAACGATTGCTAAAATTCGATTTGAATTTTGTCCAATGATGAGATTTGACATGCGTTTGTCTCGTATTTTCTTCATTTTTGGTTGTGTATGAGAGAGTACGGTCGACATGAAGAAAATGATATTAATTGAAATGTATGACAAATAGAGTGATAGGAATCGAATGTGTGTGTGTGATATTTCGTTTGCGATGACTGTTTTTCGATTTTTAGTTAATGTCTGAATCAGTGTCGGTCGATTCATCTGAGTCCTCATCGCTTTCTGGCGGTGATATCACTTCACATCCAAGCCGTTCGAGTTGTTCCATCATTTGTGTTAGTTCAAGTTCACCGGCTATTTGATACGCAGTCACTTGGCGATAACATAACGTTTCAGTATTGATGTATTTACAGCTTTCAACTAATAGTGTTGCCAATTCCATGTTATTATTTTCAACAGCTATGTGAAGGGGTGTATATCCAGCCCGTCCTTCCTGTAAAATTAAAACACATATTTTAGTAAAAATCATCCGGAAACAGAAATTTTTTTGAGATAAAAGAAAAGAAGATTTAAAAAACCACACATTCTTGATATGTATTCATTGATTCAAAATGATTCAGCTAGAGGATTTAGCACTTCATTTACATTTTTTGTAAATAGTTGACGGAATCGCAATATTGTCTTTATCTCATTCATTCTACGTTTTAAAACTGGTTGAACTTTAAAATAAGTCGGAATTAATCTCATTGGGTGTATATCTCGATGACTTAATCACCATTTCAAATGAACAACTTGATCAAGCAGAGGTGTTTTTTTTACTTCTCCCTCTTCTTCTTTGCATTTATCATCGAAACTAAATTAAATTAAACTCACTCTAGCATTGATATCGACACCCGCTCGAATGAGTGAATTTAATATGTCGATGTGATTTCGCTGCGCGGCAATATGAACACAATTTTCACCTGAAATCAAACAAAAAACATGAAGAATTCAGAATTAATCGAATTGTAATTAATACTAATTGAAGTCAATTTATTTTTAAAAGCCGGAAAATTTGTTTCAATGAGCCGTAATTTCCCGCGCGGGATGCACAACAATTGAATCGAAACAAGATATTCTATATCAAGATCCGCGTAAATATCGATATTGTAAATGGCACGAGACCGATCGTTCACCCCATAATTTCTACCGGATCTTTGGGAATGATCGAAGAAAACATTTTTTTTTTTTGAAACTTAATAATTAAAACCTCGCGACTTTGATTTGTAAATTATTTTTTGTCACGCATATCGCATTATAGCCCAGTAGATGAAATCAAACGAAAAATGAAATAAAATATACAAGTAGTTGGCATTTAGCCAGACTGACTGCGAAATATTTGTATTTGCATTATTAAAATGTGCACGAAGAAATTTACACAAGATGTGTAAGGTAAAAGTTGTAAACGAATGAAGGTAAATAAATAAATCGAAACAATTTGAAATGTGCTAATTTCTCTTCATTCGTTTGTTGCTTCTGTTTATCCGCATTTTTTGCATACTATCAGATTTTATCATAAAATGTAAAAATTATCGCTTCAAACATGCAAATCCATACAATAGGCCAAAGCTGTTTTCGTTTGCATTCACAAATATTTGCTCATCATCTATTGTGACGTTTTCGATTGGAATTGGTGTTTATCTAATATGGATGTAACGTGTTGTTTGTTAGGTGAGCTTTATCCATGAATGTTGTAAGTGTATTTACAACATCGAATACACACTGACACACGCACATCGCATGCTTTTCGAATATAGATTGAGGTGTGTGTGCGCGCAAAGGTGTGCATGTATTGTTTCATATAAATATTATTGTTGGCAAGTGTGTATGTCGACGTCTGTACGACTGGGAAAACCCAACAAAACTTGATAAATGAAGAGCGAGCCGCCTGTATCTTGTACATATAAGTTGAAAACAACAACAATACTAATGAAACATACAAAACTAAGTGAACAGACGGCATTTTTGTGAGAGTCAATGATATATATAGCAAACAACAAAACCATTTGTGCATATATGCGCGCTGCGAAACAATAACGGAAGAGACAAAAACTCGGAAAAACCCATGACAATCGAATCGATTTTCAGATGCAATCAAACTCACATTTATGGCTGGCCTCAGCCAACGTATACGACTATATAACGTTTTAAGAAATACGAAGCAACAAGAGAGAAGAAAAAAATATGAATAATGAAAAATATTCGAGTTGCAAAGCTTGGCGCTTGCAAAATTGTTTGTTATTTGTTCGAATTTCGTTGACCCATTTGCACTTTGTCGAAAGAATGAGCTTATTATAGCCAATGATTTTTATCAAGACGTTTCTTGCTGTGCGCACACAGTTTTCATGTTAGACGTAAGCACTATGAGACTTGTGCCAAAAATATTATTATAAAAATGATTCTTTCCATCTAAAAATATAGACTCATTTTCGCGAATGAAAAAATCGATGGAGTAAAACAAAATATTAAATATAAACGGTGTGGCTTGAACCATTACAACTAAAAATAAACGTAGACTTCAAGAACGGTCGCAAACTGTGTAATTGAGAATTGAATGAGAGAAATAGAGATAGAGATATGGCGCGATAAAAAACAGAATAAGCTACATGCGATCTTAGGAAAATGAAACTATATTTCTCATTCAACTACGTAAACAGATTGAATGTGCTGACGCACACCTCACAAATCGGCCAGTCAGCACAATGTCAGTCAAGGAAATAAATAACATAGAAATGAGCTGGTACGCGCGATTTGCTGGGAAATTACAGTCCAAATGAATGTAATTGCGTGATATTGTTGCTATTATTTAAAATGAAAAAAAAAAATGTAATGAAGTTGTTGTTGTTGTGCTTACCGTAAAAATTCCTCTGCTCCAAGTCAATTGAAATTTGTCGATTGGCATTCATGTGTGGCAATTGATATCTGGCTGATTGATTGTATTCCTTTAGTTCAGCGTCTGTAATTGGTTTTAAAAGAGCTTCTACTGTCGCTAGGTCACCATTTAAGCATGCCAAATGTAGTGGTGTATTGCCGTCACCGTCTCGAATCGATGCCTATTTTAAATGAAGCAGAAAAACCAAAATATAAACATCTTGTGACAAATGTACGAGTCAGCTTGTCTTCCACTGATCACATACGGAGGATTCACTGTATCTTAAAATAAACCGAAGAAGGATCATTGCGAATACATGTATTTCTATTTTGTTTTGTTTGTTTTTGTCACAATGACGGTATTGAAGTGACGGAGTGAATTTTTTGTGAGATCATATCGATAGAGTCATCATGGAAATTATAGATTATACGTACATTGGCGCCGGCCACAAGTAGACGACGAACAACATTCGATTGTTGGGTTAGGGCGGCTAAATGAATTGGTGACTGTGCATCATCGTTTTTCATATCCAAAAGCCATGGTGCCGGAGTAATGCGAATGATTGCCAATATCATTTGTTCAATTTCATTGATGATCGCCAAATGCAGCTGACTATAGTATTTTGAAATGTAGAAAAAAACAAACAAGGAAATTCAAATGCAAATTAATTGTCGGATTGTTTCGTTTTATAAATGTCGTGCTTAATCTTAAACATGTAAATACACAATCTCTCTGTCTCCATCTCTGTCTGTCTTACTGAAAATTTCCATTTTGCATAGAAATGAAAGCGGATTTTTTTTCTCTATACACTATCGCCCATTTGTGCATTTATCCTTTGTGTAAAACTATTGACTGACTTGTCTATATGTGATGCTTTCGAACAAACTAAGATGATTATAGTCGATTATAGTAAATTTTGCATTCAGACGTATAACGTCCCAAAGTGGCCAACTTGTACGAAAACCAATCAACTTTAATAATCTTAGCTATAGTCGAATAAATTCATTTCATTTTGAGTATAAGTCACTTTTTTTTGCACACGGAATATTTTAAAATACTTACGTATCACCGTCGTTATCTTGTTTGTAACATAATTGCCAAAGGTTAGCCTGTTGTTGTTGATTTGATTTGCTTCCATCTAAATTATTAATCGATGGATCCTTCAGGCTTAAATTGTTGAAGTGGTCGGGCAACCCATGATCGGTGAGACAATCCTTTGAAATCATATCGATTTGTGAATCGACGATACACCCTGAATCGATATTTGTGTCAATGAGTGTATGATGTTTCTGTTGTTTTTGGCTCTTATCCATCGATTGTGTCACTGACATTTGGGATGATTCGTCGTCCAACACACTATCTATTTCACCAGAATAAATTGCCTGTGGACCAGATAGAAAGCCAGAATCCAAGGCGGAATTCGTATCAAAATCTTTATTTTTCGAGCTTCGCTCAAAACCACTCGCCATCGACAAATCGTTTTCTGGTTCCAACATAATCAACACTTTTTTTTTCAAAATGACGTTTACTTCACAATTTCGAAAAAAAAAATGCTTCTTCGTTTGTAATAAAATCTGTCTGAAACTATCGAAATAGTCGTAAGTTTGTTTTTCAAATTGGCAATAATACTACTAGCACATAATTTAAATTCAAAATGGCGTTTGTTTAATCTATTTATATTTTACAGAGCAGCAAAAAAATTCCACAATTACTCAGTTTTATTGCTCAGATATTTGGAAGGGAAATAAACGCCACACTTGATATCACTTTAAGTCCATTTCCAAATATCTTGGATAATAGTTCACAAAACAAAAATTGCGTATAAATCACATGGAATGGAACAACTTAAAAATGAACGAAAATAATAATAAGCTTGCGATTATATTTTATTTGTTCGACCGAAGAAAGAGAGAATGTACACGACGAACGATCGAAAAGACTATTAATGCTTTGAGCTACACAACACGACTAACAACTGTAGTAAAGTGCTCTGCTAATGTTGTGCTTTGAACGAGGAACGATAAGGTCGGCGGAGAGTGTGTGCGTGTCTGTATATTGTAACATATTGCTTCTACTGTATGAGTGAGTAAATGAGTGGATGAGAGTGGAGGCATGTCTGTATTGTTGATACATACGATTGTGTGTGTGTGTATGTGGTTGAGCTGTCATTCGTTTACTTTTCTTATTGCACGGCATTCCCACCGCAACAGATAAATTTAAAAACGGCAAAATTTCGTTTGTCTCCAACCGTTTTATGAGCGGATTTCTTTTTTTTTTCGACAGCTAAAATAATATTAATTGCAACTGAACACCGAATATAAAAATATGGAAAGACCAATTGGAGTCAACACATTTTGCGTCAATATTCGTCACTTAAAAATAGAATTATGTTCGTTGCTCATCATTATCTGCGTCGAGACGAGTGATATAGAAAGACACAAATTTATTCTTATTACCTCAAGTTATATAAAAATTCTAGAAGACGCGATGCCAAAAATTATTTCGCAAGTCTAGACAAATACCAGTTAATAAGACTCGACATTAAGTCTGAGTACTGAATGGTGGCATTCAAATGAGAGAACGCTACATTTACACATTCGAATAGAGCAATTCCTCCTCTATCTCTCTCTCTCTCTCTCTCTCTCTCTCTCTCTGGGTGTGCAATGTCATAATTGTTTGTGTCTTTTATTTGCTTATTGTTAATCCATTGGGAAAATCCTTATATTTTTCGGATATTATATTATTTACAACGAACAAACGGTTCATTTTATATATGGCATAATTAAATTTGGGTTTTTTTGGTGCTCTCTATTTCACTCCGTAAACCAGTACACAACAATCACATATGTACATTCCCCCCACTGCAAACTGGCGCAGTTTTTTCTATAATTTGCTCTTTCTCTTCATTTCGCCTCGTGCATGCTCCTATATATACTAAATATCGGCTCACGTGCTATCCTCAAATCATTCACACTTCTTATATACCAAACACACACGCGCATAAATTACATTATATTGTGGGATTTTTTCTTTTTTTTTTCAATTGAACAAACTATTCAAGAAGATACATTGTTGTTTTGCTTTTCGTTTTATCCGTTTTTCTCACCATCTCATTGAAATTTTCATTGTCATTTGCAATCAATTTACTCTGTTCTAATTTATGGAAATACCATTAAAAGAAACTTTCTTTTTTTGGTGTGAAATTTTTGTTTGTTGATTGATATGGAACAACAAAAGTGATTGGAAAAACCCGTGTCTTTACCCGCGATGAGCTCAAATGATAGTCGGCAAAGAAATGATAAAACGGCGATGTCACAGTTCAATGACATCATCAATAAATGGCTTAGTGGTCTTTACAGGCACAAAGCTCCCGACAAGCAGATGTATGCATTTCAAAACATGAGAACCAAGTTGGAAAGTTTATGTGGTGTACATATATTATTTCGGCCGAAATGATTCGCTGAATTTTTGTGGTTATTGTATCCCGTATAAAACGTTCCCACTTGTTGATGAAGAAAAAATACCAATGACACTTTAGGTATATCAGTCGCCTGATTTCTTTTCAACACGCGCAATTCGGTTTCATCACATTTCGGTATCTTTACATAGCCGCTTTGGAATTCTGTGAATAACACAATAAACACACATTTCACAGATTTGAAACAGGAAATCACACGAAATTCCAAAACGGATTACATGAATAGTTCTGTTCTTGGTTTTTTTGGTGATTTAATTAATTGTTTCTACTCATTTTGCATAGTTTAGTGCTAATATTCATCGGAAATTTTATTACACTTAATTATTATTGAATCTGTTGACTTTTTGAGAATCCAGATTGGAATGCACTTTGGCACAGAGAAACAGGAAGCGGTATAATTTCAGAGGTCACCTCTATTTTACCAGCCAGTCAAGTATAAATGAATTTGACGATAAATGACTAAGTATATTTAAGTTGATCGATTTTAGATGTCTAAATAAAAAGTTGAATATAATCGTTCTTTTTATTTTAAACAATCGTATATGGACAGTCCAAATTTTTCAAATTATCCAATAATTAATAGCATTGATAAAATTTAGTTAATAATTAATAAACTATCACCCCCTAATCATAAGTGTACATGAAAATATTAAATTTGGAGCTAAAAAAATTGTCAATGATTTGACTCTATTCATTCACAAAAATACAAAATTTTATTTGAAAAAATCAACTCTAAAAAGTTGTGTTGAACAATGATGAAAATGTGGTGTAAATGTCGAGAAAAAAAAACAATGTGTCGAAACCAAAAAGCGATTGGTACTGAAAAATTCAAAAAATTTGTATAGAATAAGATATTTTGTGCTTACCTCGGACAATCTGTTCTAAAAATATTTTAAATTACTCTCTTTTTTATTACTCAATGTTAACTGCGTACTATAGCAATTAAAAAACAACCGAATCTAATGAAATTTTCGGCCAATTTGATAAACGCTCACAGTGCATCACATATATATAGCCAGTGCTCACTGATAAACGTTTTGATGCGAAGACTCCTCCTAATCACAAATATGTTCTTTTGGACATAAATGAGAACAGAAGTTTTGGTAAATATTTCATTCAAATAATCTTATTTGTTTATTTGAAACGATCATACAAAAAATGTGTTGATATAACTCAATGTTGTGCGAATTACTAGAGATTTTCAATTGATAAAGCGATCTACTGAATTTGAATGAGCACTGTGAAATCAAAGAAAATGATGCTATGAGTAACAATAAACTAATTGATTACAATTAAAGATCACCAATAAATGACTATAGTGATGATAAACATCAAAACAATGTTAGGGGTCATAAATGAATCATATGGAAATAAATCCCCCAAAATAGTGTCTTTGTACCGCTTTGTATATACGCACTCGAATTGGAAATTCCGTCACATGTTTAATGAGTAAAATGTATTCATGATTTTTTTATTCTTGGAAATTTTATTTCTTACAAATGTCATAGCGCTGCACTACTAACAGTGCGTATCGTAATTCCAAATAACTGTGGAAATTTTGTTTTCATATGTATGAATAAACTGGATTAACCCTCCAACCGTCCAGTCCAAAACCGAAAAATAATCGGATCCTCAAAAAAAATGATCAAACATTGATAACTGCAAATAATATTGAAAACTTGCCACGGTGGATTTTTTGGTAAGCAGCAAGGCCGACCTTATCGGGTAGAGGGTTAATTCTCAAAACATTCAATATAATATAATTTTCCCAAGAAGCGATTACATGTGATTTGAATTGATTTGAGGGGACTATTTAAAAACCAATCGATTTTAAATATGAGAACTGTGTCAGTGTGACGTAAATCGATGAATAAGTCATATACAGTTAAATTGTATTTTTCTGTTATCATGTATCAGTATTTTATTCAGCTAGGTTAAATACATTTGTCCAACAATTATATCGACTACCTTTGAATCTCTTTTTGCTATAGCTATTTGGGTATTTTATTTTGATTTTTTTTCTGTTAATAAATTAATTTAATCTAACAACATTTTCAGTTTCTTTATGAACTACAAAAAATAGTCTTCTCTTCTTAGCTAATTTGAACGCAAGCATCTTCTCCTTGGACACATTTTTTTTTATTATTATTTTCAAATCAAAACTATTGTCAAAGTTTGAATTTAGCATTTGACAATGAATAGTTCATAGAGGTTATCTTTGGTTAACTGGTTAGGTCAAGGGCCTATAAATTGTTCAAATTTCGACCAAATTCTGCCTCTGGGCTATATAAATAAAAAATTTGTCACATTTAATCGTCATACGGACACGGCTGTAATAAATTCGGGTTTGTGCGCGAATCAGGATGACGTTGTGGCGTTGTCCAAAACAATTGTTTCTGTATTGTAGCACCATACCATGTCTTCGTTGAATTTATCACGATGCGCTAGATTTTTGTACTTAAATAGGATCGGATTATCAATGTAGTTTTCGCATTTGAAACACCACACACTCAGGTCAGAGTAGCTTAATGCAAGAGCATGTTCGCTTTCCAGGTGATGGAATAACATGTGCTCCTGAACGTATCGACTGCAAAATGTCTTAAAACATAACAAGCACACCCAATTTTCGATGACTGTTTCGCAATTGAAACACGGTGCTTTTGTATTGAACACTGAAATGAAAACAAAGCAGATTTTATGAATAATTCTCGTCATACCCTCGGAATTGAGCCACCCTTACCACTTGGTGTTGAATTTGAATCCAACGTTGCTAAATGTGGACAATCGCTCAGTGGTACCACCGCAAACATCTCTTCGTTCAGTAGAGCGTCCCTATTTTCTCTCAAATACTCGGTCAGCGTTTGTTTTGTATTGCCGCCTGCTGATCCACTACCACTAGCGCCTGATGTTGATGGTTCAGACTCAAGTTGACACTGTTTGCTGCTTGACGGTTTGTTTTGATCGTCCGACACAGTCATTGCATTCAATTGTTTTGTCATTTCATCGATGGTGCCTTCAGCAAATACATCGTACGATGGTAGTTTGTTGACAAAACGAAGTGACTTCCAGTATTTTTGATGCACAGAGCATACATTTTGAATGGTCTCAATGCAACTTTCGCTTGGCGCTTTTCCGGTGGTGTGAAGCAATGGTAATGGGTCTCCCAACAGTGCTTTTGTACACATTGTCATTGCGTGCGATATCGAATTGACATTGTAGCCACCTTCCAAGCACAAAATGATTTTACCGTTGGCCAACGATGACAGCCATTGTGTAAAATAACCATATGCCTCTGGAGTGACATTGTAATGGCCGATTGGGTCTCCCACAACAGCATCAAATCCTGCCGATACAATCACCAGCTCCGGATTGAATTCGTACGCAATCGGCATGATGATGCGTTGAAACGCCGCAATGTAATCACTGTCGCCCATTTTATGCTTATTCCACGGTATATTCACATTAAAACCTTCACCTTGACCAGTTCCGACAACTGTGTAATTGCCATCGCTCGATTTTGGAAAGAAAGTTCCATGTTCGTAACGATGCAACGATATATACAGGACTTTTTCATCGTCTTCAAACATTCGCTGTGTACCATTGCCATGGTGAATGTCCCAGTCGACAATCAATACTCTGAAAGTAAGTAAAACATTTGGTTTATTATGCAATTCGTGATCATTTCACATTTCGTATGAAGAAACTTACCTCTTGAGATTTAGTTTGTTAATTGCATGCTTTGCGGCCAACGCCACGTTGTTGAAAATACAAAATCCATGCGGATACGATGATTCAGCGTGATGGCCTGGTGGTCTAACTACACAGATGCCCTTTTGGTAGAGACCATTCAATACGTTCTCAACCACTTGCAGCACTGAACCTACTGCGATGCATGCACACTTGTATGTCGCTTCATGGAAATAAATCGAATTGTATTTGTCGCCGATTTCTTGCATGTTTTTATTTTGCATGGAAATTTTGCGCATATTTTTCACATGTGTGTATGTATGACTCAATAATAACTCTTCGGTAGATGCTTCACGTGTGTTCAATCGATGCATTCGATTCAATAAATCGTATTCGGCGAATGTCTCCTGAATCTTTGTTATTCGTTCGGGTCGTTCGTAGTGCTCTTCGTACAGATTTCGATGCTCAGCCATTTGAGTATCATACACGTAGCACACTTTATTTGGCGCTGAAAATAGATTTGTGCTTAATTTGAGCTTTTGTAAATGCTCTGAAATGTCTTTCAGTCGCTGTGTGCTCTGTACAGGGTAACAGTTGCGCGTCTCGAACCGATCTGGCACAGGTTCACCGGAACCAATAAATTTCTGTTCCACGACGTGCAAATTAGTCGATTCGCTTGTCAATTCATTCATATCGTAGGTTTGATGTATTTGCAGACACTTCCAATATTTTCGGTGACTATAGATGCAATTCATTATGCTCTCAACCATACTAAAAATACAAGAGTCATAGGAATTAATAGGTGGTTAAACAAAATGCACCTATTGCTATTTACCTGTCGCAGGGTGGGTTGAGTGGCTCTAGCAAGGGGCACGGATCGCCAAGAAGGGTTTTAAGTGTGATTGCTGCTCCTTCTGCGAGTGAATCGAGACAGTATCCCCCTTCCAATACAACTGCCACACGACCATTGGCCAATGTCATTAAAGGCGACACCAAATGAGCATAGCATGCCGGTGTGATTTCCATTTCTCCCTATAACGAAAGCAATACGTTATTTATTCTATTTGATTGAAATGATTCACTGCCATTATTTTCACGGACGATGACTTTATTCGTATGTGCCAGTGGTGATCGCAATTCATAATTGTATTAAAAGACGAACCAGCATAATTTGTACAGAAATAATTTCTACGGAATTTCCGAATTAACAGATAAGCTTAACTAACGGTTAAAATGTCAAGGCATTAGTAAACATCCTGTTCCCTTTCTGTAGAAAAAAATCAATCAGTGGCGACAGAATTTTTGGAGCGTCATACATACTAGCTAGTCAATGCTTTGTGAAAGTGTTCGTATTGTGTTTAAGCAGTAAAAAAACCCTATCGCAACTGATTGATAGTGTTATTTTGTTGTTGTTGTAGTTTTTTTTTGCTTCTAAACTGTTACGCACCATTCCGTTTTATTTTGTGGAAGTTTCTTGAATGAACTTTTGGTTCAACCGTTCAGAAATTTATTTAGTTTGACTGATAAGAATAAAATGTAAAGTCGTATATGAAAAAAGTTGTCATCCATGAGAATAATGACAGTGATTCGATTAAATTTGCATGCGTCGATACTTTTTCATCGCCTAAAGCCGAATCATAGCCAGCTGATACAATTATTAAATTGGGAGCAAACTAAAGAACACAATTTTGCAAAAAAAAAAATAGAAAAAAAATATTAGTAATAATGAAACACACCTCTGGACACCCGTATGCTGCATCGTAACCTGCCGAAACGATGACGAGATCGGGTTGAAACTGTTTGAATTGCAAATTAAATTGAGAATTTATCGTAAGCGAAATATTCGCGGGCAAAACCTTATTACCTCAGCTGCAACGGGCAAGAGAATCTGTTGCCAAATCGCTAAATAATCTGCATTCGACATGCCAGTTTTGTTCAACGGCACATTGAAATTGTATCCGGTGCCGTTGTCTTCACCGATGCAATCAAAATCTGACTCACGTAGGTTTGGCCAGAATGTGCCGTGCTCGTATCGATGAACCGAGAAATACAGTACACGCGGATCATTGTAGAACATTCGTTGTGTTCCTTGTCCATGGTGTACATCGAAGTCAACAATTAGAATTTGATTTGCCTAGAGGAGAATGAATGTCAAATAAATCAAGGCAAATTGCAAAGTTAATAACTATTTATTTCTTATCGCAAGGTCGTACTTACACCACAATGGTCAATTGCGTGCTGTGCAGCAATGGCAACATTGTTGAAGAAACAATATCCATTGTATTCGGCCTTCATTGCGTGATGACCAGGCGGTCGAATGATTGCCATACCATTTTGAACTTCGTCGTGAAGTATACGTTCGACTAGCTCGATTGTGCTCCCCACAGCCAATTTTGACAATTGAAACGTCGTCTGCGAAATGACAATCAAAACACATTTACTTTGGAACGTACTCGGGACTTTCTAATGTGCATAATTCACTACAAAACTCTTGGGGTTTTCATATTTCAAGAGTTAAAAAATACGGACATCCCGATTAGATACATACCGGATGAATATAAATGGCATCGTAATGCGAACTGAGCTCTTCAAGCTTGCTCTCATTGGTTTCGTTTTCGGTTGCTTTCAAAATGTCATACTGGCCTTGAGTGTGCTGCGTTAGAATCTCATCAACCGTTCCCAATCGTGACTCGATTGCATGACAACGTTCAATCAGTTGCAGTTCTTCGCATCTAAATCAATAGAACGACGATTATTATTAATCAAAATCGAGGGTTTATATCGTCAAATAGGAATACGAAAGACGCAAGTGCATTTTGTTTGGCGCAAAGCTGATACATCGGGTGATCAGCACTGTAATACCAACATGGTGCCACCCAAAACACAGTTTTCATTTCACTTTGACATTCTGGAAATGTCAATTTGAAGCAAATAGCGCATAACATCATAAGTGAACACTCGATTAATCACTGATTAACGTCAAATTACACAAATTTCAATAGAAAACCCGTATTTGATATGAACATTGCGATCGCTTTCGTTTTTCTATCAATGTGACAGTGCTACAGACAGTAGGGTTTATGCATGGATAATCGGAGCGTAAATTTAATTATGCATAGTTAATGTATTGGGCTTGGCAGTATTTTCACTGCACCATTAGAAAAATAGATGTGATGAAGTTTGAATTACCTTTCCAAAACACGAGTAAATCTTTCCGGGCATTCTGGATAGCCTTTGTCCCACAAACAGGAATGTTGGTCCATCCGTCTGTCAAACACCAGACCCGTTGCACCTCGTTTGGTTTTTAGAGCACTCAAAGCCTGATTTTCAATCAAGAAGTTATTTTACATTTTTTTCATATTGATTTAATGCAATATTGAGTACACTTCAATAAAAATTCATCTAGTCATGTAATCAGGATAATATTTTTACCCTGGTTAAACACTAATATGATTTTTCTTTGAATTGCACGCAAATCTATACAAGATCTAGATTTGACTTGATCTGATAGTTTTTCACATTCCAAATAGTCGGCTCCATAAATTCACAAGAATGAATTACTGGGCCGACTTTCCTTCGCCATAAATCAGCTTATCTCAGCAAATTCTGTTCAAAAATTACTCACATTTTGATAAATATCTTTGACGACGGTTTCATTTGTCGACTTCGATGCGGAACTTCGTGCCTTTTTCTTGACTTCGTTGAGCGTAATATTGGGCTTTTTCCCAGTGGCTTGAAGTTCGTTCGATGGCATTGTTTTGGCTTGTTGACTTTGAATATCTTTGTTAACCATGGCTCTTGTTTGAATTTTGGCCCGTTGCGTTGCTCCTCTTGTTAAAATCTGTGATGTACTCTATCAAAAATTGAAGCAGAAAGAATATCGAAGTTTTTCAGCAACAAGTAGTGCATTGAAGCGTATTTTTTCAGTTATTATCATGTTATAAAAATGAAGAGCGATAAACTTGTTGCGATAACGTCGACACTTCTCAACAAAAGTACATTTGAAAATCTACAATCGATAACACACAGATTGTTTGAATTGCACGCGAATGTGTTGAGATTTGTGCTTTACAATCAGACGTTATTAATGAGTAAAATGAACGATACAAACACGAATACAATGGAATGGTCTGGTCAATTTGATGACGTGATGAATAAATGATTTAAAATGGAACAAACAAAAAGAAATGAAACACAATTCATATGTGTATTGTTTAATTAAACAAACAGAAACTGTATCAGCAATTTATAATGTATGGAGCAAACGGTATTTCGTGCTGAAGTATGATAATTGTAATTAAACTTTTAAATCCATTTTGTCGGCGGTTTTTTATTTTTCATTTTAAATTGCATTGTTTTCTTGCCATGCATTTCATTCATTATTCATTTGAAATGAATTTCCACTGCATACATACCATGATTCTCTAGAATCTTTTTTTCTCCAGTCGAACTGTTTGATATTGACTCGTTTCACTTGACTCACTCTCAGCTGCTCGGGCTTATGAATGTGTGTCTATTTCAATGAGCGATTTGATGATAATTTCAACAAATTATTCAGACAATTGCATATTTGCGGGTGATGTGAGTCGATTCTTGATTGGCACAAACTACTACAGTACACGATTAATTTTTTTTTATGAATGTAAATGCACTTGCCAATGAATTAAAATGTTACATGCACAATTTTTTTTTGTTTCGTTTAAAATGATGTGCGGATGAACGTTCACTTGTGATTGTTAAGTTGTTAGATGATTCACAGCATAACGATAAAATATTTACATGTCTCACTGGAATTTTGTTTGTTGCTACGAACTTACACAATAAAACAATTTTAGATGAATTAAAACTATTAACGAAGAGTCCTAAATACAGCGAGCTACTTTGTTGTGTACTATGTACATTTAACGACGATGTAGAGTCTCTTTCTTTCTCTCTTTTGAGAGATGTATTAACGCCTGCTGAGTACCACACAATTTTTTTTATAAATGGAATGTTTGTTTTTTTTTGTTGAATACGCAACAGCACACCTCCGCAATAAATACAACCACTCAACACATTTGTTTTGAAACAATGGAACCAGCTGGGATCACATGAGGCTTATTCTCGAGAATTGAAGCTATTTTTGTCACTGTGCTGTGTTACGTATTCTAATGCGATGTCGTTGCAAGCAAATGAAAAAAACACTGTCGTCTTCGTAAAATATCAATAACACTGTATTTTGAGTGACATCGATACCGTTCGTGATTTAGGCTGTTTAGATTCTTCAATCAAATTTGCATTTATGGCTTCGAAATATCGAATTGACTCTAACCAACTTACAATTTGAAAATTAATTGGAACGTAGCAAACTATGTGTATATGCGTGTGCAACCAAAAGAATGTTATTTTTTTTAGCGCGCTCAATTGTTATTCTACAACACGCACATGCAAACAATATAATAATTCACCGATTGAACCAAATATTCGATGGTGTGCTAAGGCGTTGTGATGAACAAAACGAAATGCACCATAAAGCAAAGCACAAAAAAACACACTCATACACACTGTTGTTTGAGAGACTAATAAAAAAAATAACAACAACAGTGTGACTGTTTGAATGCGAAAACAGACAGTGGCAAAAAGATAAACGAAAAAAAAATGCTATATAAATCCGCGCGCGCGTTCACTCAGCACTCAGTTAAGCGCTTAAAACCACACCGATTCTTCGAAATATATAAACAACCACTCTCACTTTCTTGTCCATTCGATTTTTTTTTATTGACAATTCACTTTGTGATACTGTTGCTTCGACCCGCTCATTTTCGACGAAAATGTATTGTATATATGACATGAGAATGCGTTTTCAATGTATGTATTTATTTTCTGTTTATCATACGCAAATGTATGCTCATGTCAAGAGACACAGGGTTGCACTACAACAATTCCGTTGAATTTTCTTTGTTCCATGAGATGAATTTGAATTTCGTCCAATCACCAATCATTCGAAAAATTTGAAATTTCAATTTGCACGTGGACTTGTGAAATTTTGCAAGGGAAAAATCTAAACACTAAACGCACTGTTTAACTATGATTCATTGAATGACGATGTATGTGCGTTTTGTGCAAAATCAAAGAAAATGCAACGAGCAGCTGCTTGCAACACACACACAAACTGAACCGAATGTTGATAGCCGCGAATGTGGTAACACTGACATTTGACAAGCGATTTCTATTGAATGCCGTCACTTTTGTATCAACGAACTCACAGCCATAGTGACGGAATTTCGTCTTGTTATCTAGTTGTTGTTTTTTTTTTTTGGAAATTTCATCCGAATTTATTTAGTTTCGGTGATCGTTTAGTAGATTATCGTGTATTAATTTGATTTCACACAATTTTGTAGTGCGCTAAGGTAAATTTGTGTTGGTTGTCTATCTTTTTATCAAATGTTTGGTTATGTTTATTCCCATTGGATTTTAATACGTTTAATTTTGCACAGGAAATTATATGCAATGGAGCCAATGACATTGGGAAGCCCGTCTAGTCCATCGACAGCCAACACAACCAATTTTTTGCCATCATATCTAATGGGAGAGCCAAATACAATGATAGCACCACGAACCAATACACTGTCACCGACCAAAGGGCGGACATTGGCATTTTGTAAGTCATCTGGTTTCTTCTGGCATGCATCTCAATTCATTATTTTTTTTGATTCAATGCAATTTCCAGCTGCATCATCACCAACCACACCGGTAACATCGAATGACTTTAATCGATCGATGATCCAACAACGAAGTCTGTTTGGTTCAAACAATCCCACCACATCGCCGCATCATAATTTTCCGAATACACCACAAATGAGTCACAATCCAATCGCATCAGGACCGCCGACACAGGTGAATATCGTTCATTGTTTTTATCGCGAGATAAAATGCGTTTGTTTATCAATATCAATTTGTTTGGCAAAGGCACATTTTCTAAATGAAATCGTTCGATTTATGTTTTAGAGTTTATTCGATTCTTTGAGGGTGGAACAAAATTCAGTTGTAGATAATTCATACAGTCAAAAGCATGCGATGGGTCAACGTCTGCCGAACCAGTCGTTTGCAATGAATCAATCCGTTTGTGACTCATATCTGAATCAAAGTAACTTCAATGTATCAAGGTAAATTCATCGATTTAATACATTTCAATTGAAGCCCACTTTTAAGCCAAACGTAAACATTTTGGATCGTTTTCAACAGAATAACTTCACCATTGGATCAATCATATGATTACCGAAATGGTTCAATGTCTGTGAACAATTGCTTGTCGCCAACATCATCGCGCCCGTCAAAGCACTGGGTCACCGTTTATGGATTTTCACCATCAGCTTTAACCATGATTATCCAACACTTTTCACAATGCGGTACAATTCTAGAGAAAATAAGTCCACCGCAGAGTGGCAATTGGGTGCATTTACGCTTTGCATCGAGCTTAGAATGTGAGAAGGCATTAAACTATCATGAACGCATTCTGGCGAATAGTCTCATGATTGGAGTGACCTATTGTAAAGATCCCAATGTCGTAGATAAGGAGAATGTCGAACGAAATAAGTAAGTTATAACGTGACAGGTGGTTGTATGTGTGCCAAAACTAATCTATGGTGATTCATTTTATTTACTTGCAGTATTTCAATAAGTCGAGCACGACCATTAGCGCAAGTGAGTTACAAGACGGCTCAAAGTGCAACGGATATTACTGGCGGACCCACAACGCCCAGCAGAAGCTCTGGCATCATTAATAAAGCCATTGATCTTTTCTTTGGCTTGTAAGAGCCGATCCACAACTCCAGAGTGTCTCATATTCGAAAGGACATTCATAATTGTGCATATATCTAGCAGCATTCGATTTTAATCAAAACATGTCGATAAGGCCAATTCATTTAAAACAGGAATATCATCTTAAATCCAACAATTGCTCCGACAATTTTTTCTTTTGTTCAAGTGCAAAATTTTTGTTACACAGAAAATAAATTTAGCATTAATGTCGAAGATATAAGTTTTACAAAAAAGTTTCGTTCCTTGAAACAATTCGAAATTGACAGCATGGCTAAACACATGTCGTGCACACATACTGAATATTCTTATTACTCATACTAAAATCTAATAATAAACAAAATATCTCAATTTTCCAATCAAAACACTTTTTTCGATTTGCATTAAGCGTTTTTTTTTTCACAGAAAAATAACGTATTGGATATATATCTCTTGGCGGGAAAATATTGCATTGAGAAATTCCCATTTCAATTTAAAAAAATATTCGTTAAACCATATAACTCCCAGAATGTCCACCGCGTGGCGTTGCTTGACGTATGTCATTTTTGAGAAATATGTTTGTTTGTCATCAACTGTTTGTTTTGATCATCGATTGTGTCTTTAATAACATAGCATCCACAGAAAAAAATTGAAATAAAAAAATCAATAATTATTAAATAAAAATGACCGCTGTCACCGTAGAACCGAAAAAGGTGCTTCAACTGATAAATAGCATGGGATATAAGAATGTATCGGCGGCTGAACTAAAGGAATTTACTAAAGGTAATAATTAATTTCTGTTTGGACATGTTCAAATGCTCTGGATTTTTTATATTTATTCAACGATTTATTTCAGATCTGAAAAAGTTGATAAAGTATGAGCAGAAACCGAAACAACCGAAACAAAACCGAAACTCATCAGACAATTTACAACCACAAGTAGTACATGCACCAGAAAATGTAATCAATGTCACCATTATAAAAGAAGCCAGTCCAAAGAAAAGTGTTCAAACTGAGCATAAGACAAAATTCATCGGAAGAGATACTAATAAAGCACAAGATGCGGTGAATACAGGAAGAGACTGCAGAGATCCAGAGAGAGATGAAGCAGTAAAGTTATCGAAACGACTGTCACGACTACCAAACCATGTTAAAAACAAAATTCGAAGAGTCAGCATAGCCCAGAGTGATCCAATGGAGTCTGAGACAAGAGAACCAGTGAAATTACCGTCGAAAAGATTGTTACGCTTATCTGGCCATGTCAGAAGTAAAAATCCAAAAATTGTGTATAAAAACGGCGGCGTGAGTGTAAAAGGCGTTCTCGTTCGAAATACACCAACAGATCTATACCAGAAATACCAAGACGATTGGATAAAATTTAAGTCGTTCATTCCAGGCGAAAATGATAGACAAAGTGTTCGCCGTAGTATTCGAAAGAAAATGCAGCAAAAAGACGAAGATGATGACAAGGTAAGATGGAATTTCGAATCATTTTTAAACTCGAATTGTGTCAAGGAAAGTTTAAACACATCTAACTTGAATTGATTTTTTTCAGGTTTATGTTCATTTTCCTGATGAAACCGGAGACCATTGACTGCCAAAGCATGAATACCTCAATATAAAGCATAATAAACTGAAAATGATTAAAACTACCGAGAAACCGTGATTTTTTTTGTATTTATTTGATTTCTCTTGGCCAAAATATTAAATTATTTTAAACATCAACATTGATAGACAGTTTCAAATATAACAATCATTGTTCAACTTTCCATCAGAAAAATATATAAGCGAACAAATCACGTCTAGTTGGTATTTAAAGCTAAAACTTCGGATTTTTAAAAAGATTTGTTACTAAACTCTTGTAAGTAAAAAGGTGAATAAAATGTTTCCAAAATTCATTAAAGAAATTCATGTGTCCTGTAGCTTTGAGTCGGGAATGATCAGCCGAACAGAGAGACTACTTTCTGCAGCTTTTTTTTTCATTGATTTCATGCCAATTTAAGGGGTGAGTTCATTTCAATGCCACAGAAATCACACGCCATCATCACGCAGGAATGGTACAAATGGTTTCCTCAGCGAGTGCAATGTTCGGTCGCCTGTCTCATTAAAATAATTTAGATAATTTATTGGTTTATACATGTTACAAGGATTTGGTGCTAAAGAATTGTTGTTGTTGAGATGAACATTTGAAGTCGGTCGTATTCCGTAATATGGTTTATTCATTACGTCATCTAACCTCTTTCTCTCATGTTCGTACACATTACCGTTTGGATTTCGTAACGATTTCAAGGTAGCCGAATTTGGAATCGGTTGCCATGTCGCAGAACTTGGGCTCGATAGATTGTTTGCCAGTGCCGTTGGTGTCATCCAATTGTTTATCGTTGTTCTGTTGGTTTTCTTCGAATAATCCTTCCAAAGATTTGCCACTTTATTTTGATGAATTAGCTCTGCGGCACGCCGGGGCCGGAAGTAGGTACATAAAATGTCGTTACTGTCTGATCGCTCCATTTTCTAAAATATGCAATTTTTTTTAATAAATATTCCTCATAATGTGAGTTATACAAAACAAATTTACCTTCTCATTGTCTTGCTCCAATTTTTCCAAATACATATCGGCCTCAAAATTATGATTCACTTCAGACTCTAAAATCTCCTCTTTTTCAGCTTCACGGAATGTTTTCAAATTATCTAAAAAAATTCAAAATTTCGGTGAAAATGCGCTATTTAAATCTCAGATGAGTTTATTACCCGCTGGAGGTAGTCGAAGACGTGACATCGAATCCTCGGGTAATTTCCATTTATTCAAGTCTTCATTCCAAATTGAGTCATGTTTTATTGTTTCTGGATCCCACAGTCGACCACTTTTTCTCAGGTACGGTAGCGATAATTCGATTAGTTGCTGGTAGAATTTTAGATTTTTCTCCAATTTTCGAATCGTTTCGAGATAATCAGTTCGATCCAATTGAAATTCCGATTGTAAATCACTTACTTCTCTTTCTAAAGCATAAGCCTAAAATCAAGCGAATGTTTTTTTAGACTTGAAGAAAAGTAACATTTTGAGCAAATGTCTTACCTTCCGTGAAATGGCTTTGAGTGCATCCGTTTTCATTTTTAGCTCTTGCTGAAAATCTGTATAATGTCCTTGTAAAATATCACGAGCCTCGCTGTGTTCGCACATATCGAGCGCTTTTGTAATCGCATTCATTCGTTGTTCGGCGGCCAATTTTTTGCGTCGCCGTTTCTCTTTCAGTTGTGTATTATTCGAACACTCGCCACCAACTAACGAACTCTTTAACGCCTGTATTTTATTGATCACTTCATTGTTTTGTGGTAGTTTGTTGGATTGTGTATTCAGTGCAGCTATTTTTTCTTCGTAATGCATTTTTAGCTTCTCCATATCTGGAATAACAATTAATAAAAGAGTCGATTTTGAACAAAAACGATATAAACGTATTTACCATTCATGAGTTCCTCTTTCTCTTTGCGTTGACTTTCGTGTTCATTTTTCAGACGTTCCGTTTCGGCTTCATAAAAATTGGCCAATCTCTCTTTTTCCTCTTCAATGTTTTTCTTCATTTCCAAGTCCATTGGTGATTCAATGCCACTTGTTCCGGCAGTATTCGCCAGTTGTGCCTTAAGTTGTGATATTTCTGTAGAAAAAAGAAGAAGATGTTGTGTCCAATAAAGACAATCAAAATACGATAAAGTCCTACCTGCTTGATATTCGCGAAGCATAGCATCCTTGGGGTCTTCATTAATCACAGGTCGATTGCTAATATTCTTTGCACGACTCGCGTATCTCAAAGTAGACAATGTTTCATCGTAATTGAATTCAGCGGGTGAAATGCACGCAATCATAATTGTTTTTGTGTTGCCGCCCAATGAATCCTGTAGCAGTCGTGTTAGTTTTGAGTCCCTGTATGGTATGTGTTTGGATTTGCCATCGACAAGTGCCGATATCACATTGCCAAGTGCCGATAGTGACAGATTAATTTTAGTGGCTTCCTTCAAGCGATCTCCAGTTGCACCGGTTTTAGCTTGCCTCTCCGATCCCGCCAAGTCCACTAAATTCAATTTCCCCTTTTTGATGATTGCAACATTTTCCTCGTCACTCGCCGCACCATTCGACGTAGTAATTTGTTCAAGATTTATGACAAAAATCGAATGTGACCGGGATGAACCGGCATTCATTAGCGTTGCCCCGACCATTCGATTTTTTGTGCCAATTGCCAATAGTTGTTCGCACTCTTCGGCCGAGTGAACGGCATGTGTGGATAAATGTTGAACGACTACCCCTTCATTTGGTTGTTCTTTCAAAACCAATGTTCCCGATGAAATGGATGGATTCAGTAAGTCGCGAATATTTTCATTGTAAATTTCCAAATAGCTGACTAACGGAAGATATCGAACTCCCGCTGTGACAGACATTGCTTCGAAAATGTGATCAAACGAACGTGATATGAGACCGCGTTGCGCGATTTGTTCACTAGTTAATAAAATGCCAGATGGTACGTCCGGCCCTTGCATTGTATGCGATTTTCCACAACCCGTTTGACCGTACGCAAAAACGGTGCCATTGTACCCCTCCAAAACATTCTGCAATTGATTTTGTAATTTAGTTCATTTATTCAAAGACCCAATTGACTTTTTCTTTATTTCGCTCGAATATTCAATATTTGTTTTTGAAAAAGAGGGTTAAACAAACAGTTTCAACCTGTTTGATGTAAAATGCAATAGGGTTGCATTGTTGATAAATGTAGAAATGGACGTATCAATTCGATCAAATATTCATTAAAAGTGGCCAATTGAACTTACCTCAACCAATGGATAGCAAATGTCATTGTAAATACTTTCGGTGGACGATTTCGCATCGTATGCACTGTCAAATCTAAATTCTTTTGATGGAGCCGTTAAATCAGCTGGATTTTGAATGCTCACCATACATTTTGCCACTTTTATGATGTTCTATTGTGCGAAATCAATTTATTAGAACAAGGTCATATTCCAATCAGCAAACATTTTGTCGTATACATACTTTACATTTCATATTCCGTTCTTTTTCGTTCATCGGCCGACACCGTACGATTACTTTTACATTCTCAGCCATTGCTAATCTTTTTTCTTTCGTCTTCGTTTGCGTTAATTAATCAATGTTTCGGCAACTCTCGTATAATTACGTTGTCGCAGTGTTGTTTATTTCCTGTTTGAAGTACAAACGAACATTATGAATTAGTATAATCATTATGTTGGAATTGAGCTTGACGAATCTGACCCACACAGTGATGAATAGTTTTTGTTTCAACCCAAAATCAAAATCATCGATTCATCGTTTATATTTGTGTCACGGTCAAAACATGTCGACTTTTTACTCATAAGACCGCATAAGACCAATTGTAATATGTCCACCATTATATGTGAATGACTCGTACATGTTTATATATTCAAATCATGTGAACTAAATGAACAGCGTTGCAGACACGAAAACGCACAAATGGAAAAACACCCACACCAAATCAATAGAAATACTCATTTCGAAAACATATCGGATTTGTTATGAGTTATGGATGGTCACCACATGTTCGCCACGCTCATTGTGTATTTTATGCGTGGCTATTTTACTCAACTACTTCTGAATATTTCCATTTGGAAAATTATTTCTCATATACGCTAATGACAGGCTGGTGACCAGTTGACTGCTAGTTTACTGTCGTACGCAAAGTTTTTCATTTATTTTAAGCCAATTCAAAATGAAATCATTCGAATCGATAATGTTGAAATAACACTTGTTCAAATACATAACGTTTCTAGTAGAAGTGTGTGGAATATTTTCATTTTCAACCAGCCAATATAAATTTATTATCGGACAATTTTTTTTGAATGTTAATTCCATTAAATACGATCTTGAACTTTCTACTTTCGAGATTTAAACATCGTTTCAATTTGAAAATATTTATCAGTTACATGGTCAAGCCTTGACATGATCGTTCCACTTTTTAGATAAAATGAAGAAAACTTCGGTTTTGAAAATATTTCAAACGAAATCAAATAATTGAAAGTAGCCAATCATAGACTCCCACTTAATTATTGTTTTTCCACGTAAATTGCTCACTTATTATTTTCTGGATTTGGACAGTCTGAAAGCTCAACGTACTAAAATATTTAAAATATCACTTGGAAAATAGGATTTGCGTGCATTCTAATTTTAACTCAATGAGTTTAATTAGAACTTCTGCTTCCAATACATTCGCGTTTATGCTTTGTCACTCTTCAATCGTGGACAATTACATGCATTTGTGTGTGCGAACTAGTATAACTTCGATGAACCAATTTGTTGACCCATAAACACATAAAAATAGTTTTTCTGTTTTACGTCCATAACTTTGCAATAGTTTCGAACTCAAACAAAAAAAATGAAAATAATTCAAAAATTACTATATTTCCTTCTTATGTACTCTTTCGATATTTCTGCTAAGGCTGATTAATGAAATTGATTTATTTTACCTTTTGATATTTTTTATGCCGATATTTTTTTAAATAGATTTTGATGAATCATCAAATGAAATGGAACATGAAAAGGTTCCATTTTATCTTTATCTTCGAAAAAAATAGTCGAACTTCCTTTGGTCATTACATACACCCACGCATTCGGTATGAAATGTGCATTAAAATCTCCTAAACACACCCAAGTCCAATCGAAACACGCAAGTTCTTCAATGATAAGGTCTTAGAAAATTTTGAATATTCACTAATATAAAAATACCAAACCACTCAAGAATTAAAAAGGAACCACCATTGGTATATACAATGATATCAATAAATCTTCGTGTTCTTTCGAGCGATTCAATTGAATAATAAATCTGACACCGACCGGCACATGGGAACAAGTAAGGACATGATTATGGGCCCTATCACATTTGAAATTAAATATGAATGCGTGATGTTTCTATTCTCTTCGATGGAAATTTTCAAGTTCATGAGCCTTATTTTCAGTTAAAAATATTAAAATCGATCGATAGCCTTGAAAACATGATAAAAGATATGATACAATGATGACCTTTCGATGACGCACAACGTTTTTTTATATCCCGAAAATTTAAATTATAAAATGATAAAAGCCCTTGCTCCAATGAAACCTGATAACGACTAGTCGGAAAATATAATTACCTACCATATTAAATTTGAATTTTTCCATACTGATAACTTAAATAAAAATGACGAATCATCATAGATAAATATTTGTTTTTGAAAAAAAACCTTCCATAACGAAAGTTATCGATTAAAAATAAGCGGAAATAATTATCTTCATGTAATTTTGATCAATTTGGACGTGCAATTTTGATGTTATGATCATAATTATTTAAGCGTTTCCAAATTGCATGACTAATAAAAAATGCAGATGGCATACTCAAATGAATAGCATTTTTTTATCAAACCACTGATCAATTGTGCATAAATGAATGTTTGAAGAAGCCAAAGGGTCATCAAATGTTTAAATTGATATGTTTTTGTTTACTTCAAGAATAAAAAAATCCATCCATTGTCATTCACCCGCCAATCAACCACAGCCCACGAACAAATATTTATCTTTCACGAATACATCAGCTCAAATCAAATAAAACGAATAAAAAACCACAACAACAAGTTTGTCAACTGTCGTTAACATTTTTTTGTCATAAAATCCGATTCTTTACCGAATTCAATTGAAATACCAGTGATTCACATCAAAAAGTTTTTCCAACAAATCGAAAAATAGCGAGTGTCACACGTCATGTGGTCAATCATGTCTGATTTGCGTGCCGTCCGGTTATTTGCTTGAGTAAAAATCGATTTTTAAATTGAAAATTCAATGGATGACAGTTAATAAAATGAGACACAAGTGCACAGCAGCAAATGCATTATAACGGCCATTTGTGGTAAATTTAAAGCATGACTATTGCGACTCAAACAAATTAAATCAATAATAAATTAGCTTTCGATGCCATTGGAATGTGTTTGGACGGAATTTCCGGAAAGTACGAGAATCATTTGGCAAATCGTTATTTTTTCCGTGCATCTGCAATTTGGTGTATGTTTTTGCTTTGATGTATGTAATTTGTGTGTATGTGTGAATGGAATACGTACGAGTATTTGGATAGAACAGGACTACAATTAAGCCATCGATGCATCGAGTCAATCATACAACTCAAAACGATGTGCATAATTTATGCATTCAATACTCGTTCGACTCGTTATGGGGACGACAAACGATGTTATCTATGAATTGAAATGCAATTTGAATGTTATCGCTGTGGGAACCAATTTTCAATGTGATTTCAAAACAATTTCACTTTTGAAGTCTTCTTTAACTGAAATTCCAACATCAAATTGTTCTAGCCTTTACTCATTAGAAAAACAATTGATACAAAACACGATTTGTGGAAAGCACGGTTTTTTTTTCTTTATAAAATCTTTTTTCAGATTTTTTTTTTATAATTTTTCGATTTCTGTTTTTTTTTCACTTTCACTTTGAATTTTTTTAGAATTCTATTCTGTTCGGGCTCTTATATTCGTAGAAGACTTAGTTATTCATAAAATATATATAATTATATACCACTGTCAGTCGATAGAATATAGAGGTCTGTGTAACTGTCTAAAACACAAAATTTCTAATAAAAACACTAATGCCATTGAAGAATAAACACATTTTATCAAAACATATATAATTTTAATAAATAATAATCCGCAGCAAAATTATTGGAAAATCCCAAGCTCAATTGTATGTTTTTTTTTATTGTTCAACACGCACATACAAGAATATGTTTACCGCGAAAATGGTCTTAATACCATCGATGACGATGGCGTTCGAGCAAAGTGGAAAAACCTTTAACGCCTTTCACTGCTGCCCGATAACTGAGACAATCACGAAAAGTTCTCGTTGCTTTCTCACCAATTCGTTCAGGTGGAAAATGGTTAAGTGTCGCACTACTCAAATACATTTGCATAAGCCATTCATTTCACACGCAGTCGAATCTCTTGTACACCGTCAAACATCCACATTTACACACTGATTGCCAGCAATTTGTGTTTTTTTTCAACGAAATTAATCACATTTCTTTGGTATAGACACACACTAGTCCATTGCTAGTCTACAACAACAAAAAACCTACACAATATCGAATGATTTATTTAATGGTATGAAGCAGACGGTGGCAATTCATATTTTGTGGGCATAGTCTCGAAGACATATTCTTTATCGGTATATTCAACATGCGTATGTATTGAAATGTTTCAATAGTTCAAATGAATTCCTTTTTTCTCGAGTGACCCTCAATTTATTGATAGATTTTTATCATCAAAATTCAAAGCTTGTACATTCGCAAGCCGCATTTCGGCACGTATTAATAAGGGTCCGGATGTCAAGTTTGATATGTCATGAACTCACAAATTGAAAAATTATTATTATTAAATATGTAGGTTTAACGCAAACGCACGATCTATCGCACGGTTCAATCTTTATTGTTTTGATAATCATATTTACAGATTGTTCATCATTAATATGATGACAGATGTGGTTTGAATATAAAAAGCGCTATAACTAAGGATTCGTAAAGATAGTCCTTAACAACAAATTGGGTAGTTCATTGTCGAAATACAAAATATCAGAGATTCTAGAAAGCCATCGTTCGAGTCATTTGTATAATAATTTCTTATCGACTAGCCTATATATCTTATATTGCAAAGTAGCATCAATTCAATCACCAATAGTTTTCATAACTTATACATAGCAAATTCGTTTCTGTTCCTCGGATTCGATCAGTTTGTCAAGTGCCGTTTCGAATTTTCTTGCGGCCGTTGATAGTTTATTATTGTCGCTGTTTGAATCTGTAACGAAAAAAAAGGATTGCCAAATTGAATTTTTGGGTATGTTTTGCAAAGCAGCTAATCTTACTTATCCGGTGTAATATATTAGTCTACGATCTTTGAATTACGACTATGTTATCTTATGTCTAAAATAATTGATTGCTTGAGCTAATACCATCGACTATAGTTTTGATCTTGTTGATAAGATGTTTGAAATTCTCCATTTCCGCCTCGAACGCGTCATCTGGCATTAGATTCGCAACAGAGCGACACCGACGCACATCCTGAACAAAGAAAATTTTCCATTGTAAAAATGTCAATGATTTGATGTAATTAAAGTGCACTTACAATTTTCGGTTTGACTGCAGCATGCACGGATCGTGATGTACGTATCGATTGTGTATTTGACCGTGGCAATGTACTGACGTCAACCAATGTAAATTCGGATCGATTATCATCCAAATATACTTTATCTGATCTTGATCTATAAACTAATGACACGAGTGCAATTTGGTTAATTTTTTTGTTTTTCAATTTTATTTTAATATCTTAATGAAACTTACTCGTGTCCGTTGATTGACTGCCAATGCTGAATGCAAGTGGTTTACGAATATAATCATTTTGATATGGAGTACTGGATTGTGGTTGATAATATGTACTTGATACCAACATTGAATTGCGCTTCGGTTTTGATACATTCAATACACGCAATCGATTGAAGACATCGTTTAGAAAGACTTGGTGTTCACACAAAAACTCTGGTTTCACCAATTTTCGTTGTTTCTTTGACAATGCAAGATAGGCTTGGAACGATTCCACTTGATGGGCCAGCGAATTGAGCACAGACTGCAGTTCATCTTGGGAACTTGTATTTGGATTTGGAGCTATAAGACAAAAGACATTTTTTATGAGTAAAAATGTTCCCTATTCAGGATGGAAAATGATGCAAAACCAAAAATATGATTACCTTTTCTCGTCTGATTAAACTTCTCATCGATTTGACGTATCGATGGTTTTGGTTTTCGTGGTGTATCCCATTTCGTATCGTTAACACATTCAATAATTGTGGTGTTTGTGTCGCCGTTATGTTCATCTGTTACCTTAATTTCCATCGTTAAATTATGTTCATCACTTTTTCTTGGTTTTCTCCTTAAACAAAACCACTTTCCCACCGTTGCGAAAGTCGAAGAAAAAACATTGCTTTTTGTGAGCTGCAATTAAAGGTCAAAATCGTTCTTTTTTTAAACGGGCATTCATGTTTAATCTTTAAAATTTACTTACATTCGTACTAATTTCATACATTCGATGTGACATTTCGTGTTTTGAACTTTTGTATCCAGCGCAAAAGCATTCAAAACAGAGTGATAGGTTTTTGCATTGTTGGCACTTGAAGCGAATTCCCACAATTGGTGATCTTTTGCAGTTCACACATTCAGCATCGTGTAAAATGTTCTGAGACTCTTTTATGCGATGTAATAATGCCAAGACATTGGTATAGTATGCAAACTTTATATTTTGCTTTTGCCAGAGTTCAATGAATTGGTATTCACTCAATCCAATCATACCGAGGCTCTAAAGAGAGAAAAATTAATGTCAGAATAAAAGAAATGCATTTTCAATTTTACCTTTTCAAAACATTCTTGAATAATTGCACCGATCAGATGAGGTCCGTGCGATTGGCTCTCTCCGATGTATGAAAAAAATTTGGAGATTGCATTAACGATTAAATCAAATCGAAATCGGTTGACACATCGATTTGGATCGGTCACCAAATTGAATTCCTCTTCAATCAGCTGACCATAATGCTGTGTATTGCACAAAATTAACATCAATTGGCGAAACACCAACAATGACAACGGCACCATTCGTTTTCTACAATTAAAAATTCGTGAAATTAATGTTGCGGATGGGTAAAGTTTTACAGTTCCACATACGGATCATAAATGCACCAAAAGAAGTTCGTAAGCATTGAAGTGCATCGTTTTAAATGAAAGTCAATGCTTTGTGTGAAAAGGTCACATTTATGGGCGGCATAGTAGATGTCATGAATGATAGCAATCAATTGTCTTGGCTTTAACACGGGCACATTATCGCATTGGGAGAATCCATGATGATTTAACACAGTCAACACAAGGCTATAGGGAATATTCACAGCTACAAATCCAAAAGACAAATGAAATTTAATTTTTTGTTCTACATATTTATAATACTAGTTAACTCACTGTAGAGAGATTGCTTCAAAAACCAGATTTTCGTTGCGCATCGATATGTGATGTATTTGATGGATTTGTGTTGATCATGAATCACTTGCATTATCTCCATCAGTTGTGGATTATTATTTTGATGTTTACCTGTTTGTCTATTCACATAGAACAGGTAGCCCGATGCTGTCTCCTTTTGATCAAACATTTTCTTCTTTTTATTAACTATATCACGATCCAAAAACACTATTTTAACAACGAATCTTATCGTAAAAACTACTTAGCCATTCAAATACTACGATTTATCGGTAATTTATCGACTGGCGCCAACGTGCTCACATTGTGTGTAGTATAATACGAAAATCGGTTAAATTGTTTGGCATTGCACTGTCCGTGTGTTGTTGGTGGATAAATTTCTTTTGTTTGAAATTGATCATGAAGTTGGTTGGAAGACAAATTCAAATATTCGCAACAGCTTAACTGATAAACACAAAGAAGAAACGAAGAAAAGAAAGTCCAAGATCGATATGAAGTTATCCGTTGATCATTGTGTCAAAATGCGCGCCGAACTCAGACAAATCCAAACGCAAAATATCAAATGTACACATTCATTATTATTATTTATGGCGCAATCACTTTTTGTATTCAATTTATATATTTTTGTAATTTTAAACTCGGAAAGAAAAAAACAATTCATGACAAAAATAGAGTCATGACAACGCTCAATTTACCGAAATTTTTGTTTTTTTATTTCAATGATCTACTATCTATCGTACACAAGACTCATAGCAATAAATAAGACTCATACTCGTACGCCTCAAATCAATTTCAAATTATTCTCCTGTCAAATTTATTCAAGAGAAATATTGTCGGTAAATCGATGCACGGAATAAAATTCCATAAAAATTCTCATTTTAATTGATAGCTTCGTTTCATTTGTATCGAATGAACGACTTTTTATTTTATTTTTCTTCCATCACCACGCATTTCAATTTCAAAATATGTTGCTTTTACAATCAAAACAGTGTAGCACATGAAACACGCAAATGTGACGACAATTGTTTGAATATTTAAACGTTTAATTCGTTATACACTTGTGTTGCGAAGATTTTCTCTTTGTACGCGTACAATTCACTAGCGCAACGTCATCGAATTGTCTATAGCATAATGTGATTGTGTATATAAGAAGATAGGTTCAAATACCAGGAAATGATGATTGGGTCAATTTTGTATATAAATGCGAAATACCTGTACGCCCAACATTTTTACTTGTTACGAATTCACGTGCGGGTTTAAATAAAAATCTGATCCTGGACGAATCTCTTTTTATGAAAATTTCTCCATTGGAAATTAAAAATAAGTAAATGTACACAGAAGTGTACACCAGCTTGTTTGGTGAATAAAACTTCATAAAGGCGTTTTGTACTCAATGGATTTTCGACGTTCGGTATTATTTACCGTTGTCAATCAATAGTTCGATGAACCAAGCCGTAACATTGAAAACGATTTACGATATGAATCCTTGAACCTATAAAATCAAATACATAGTAACGCTTTTTCGAGACACACTATCCATATTCAATGAACGATGCATATCGATTAACATGTATTATGAATAAAGAGTGGCGATATATTATGAGCAGACTGTGAATTTTTCAACGATAAATTTTAAATTATTTTTCAGTTAAAATGTCGTCATCTGAGTTTAACGTGGTCGTAAAAATATTGCACAAAATTTATTCAAATCGAAACCGAAGACATCAACTTATAAAAATGTTGTCGAAAAAGGAATCTACGAAGAAAACCGCATTTTATACCAACCTCTGCAAATCTTCAACGGCAAACAATAACCCAATTGAATTACTGGACACAAAATTGCATCATCAATTAGACGGTGTTGAAATTGCTCGTGAAAAAAGTGATGCGAAAGCAGCTAAACTTCGACAACAAGGAATCAAACAGTTAACTGAGATGTACAATAATGACGAAGCAATGGCATCGCTCAACCAATCTTTGTGTTTTTGCGAAAATAATTCGAAGCTCATTGGTTATGTCTATGTGTGTCGTGCTTTGTGTTTTCTCCAATTGAAAATGTTTGAGAAGTGTTTAATCGACCTCGAATTTGCTAAGAAACACTACTTGTCGCCGCAAGAAAAAAAATATTTTGAAATCTGTCAGGCAGCCTGCTTGAGAGAAAAGTAATATGGAAAGATCAAAGCGAATTGTGCGAACCAACTCTGGATTTTGATGCCAACGAAATGTTTCCTGGTTTGGCCAGTGTTGTGAATGTGGAAAAAAACAGTGAATATGGACGGCACATTGTGGCAACGGATGATATTGATGTCGGAAAAAATGTTTTGGTGGAAAGATGCTACTTCGGCGAGGCGTTGCACAGAATATACACAAATTGCAATATTTGTTTGAGAAGCAACGTTAATTTGAAGCCATGCCCAAAATGCACAACGGCCATGTTTTGTTTGGATTGTGAAAAAAATGATTTACATGATATCGAATGTGATATCAACAAGCACTACCAGTCTGGAAACTGGACCATAAATAATGCGCATATTTCCTTCATATCATTGTTGATTCGATCAATTATTTTGGCAAAAAACGCGTTTCCCCAAGTTGATCAACTGATTGCTTACGTCGAAAAAATGTTGAAAGAACGTGATATCGAAATGCCGAAGACGCTAAGTGATCCACAATCAAAATATCGTGCTTTCTTCAAATTGCATCCAACGGTCACCGATCAGACCAACGTTCTGTTCATTTATGTAAATTATCGAAAAATAATCGATCATCCGGTTATGGCAGCGTACTTTGCGAATGTGACTCAACGACGGTTTTTGATGCACTTGATTGGACATCATTTGAACATAATTTATGAAAGATGCCTGAATGCTGGATGCCAACCATTGCCAAACCATATGATAACTTCGTCGAGAAGAGTCAATTTTGTTAGCAATTACATCAATCATTCATGTGCGCCAAATATTATTTTGAATGGAACAAATCGTTACACAGTTGCTATTACTGTTCGCCCCATCCAGAAAAATGAACAACTATTCATAGCATATATACCATGTGGTTTCATGCCAAAAGCAGAACGACACAAAAATTTGGCTGATAGATTTCACCGTTTCCAGTGCAAATGTGAACGCTGTGAACAGAATTTGCAATCATCAAACAATCAAATGGCATCCGATCCAAATTACACATTTATTCGAGCATCATATAAAGAGGAAAAACTGGCCTTCAACATGTATACTTCTTACCACAAACAATTCATGAAATTGATTTGTTGTTGTTTTTTGAAAAAGTATGGACGATCGGCATGGTGCAAGGAACTGGCAGAGATTATTGACGTGTATTCCGATTTGATGCATGGCGACTTGATGATTACACGCAATCTTGCGGAAGTTGCTTAAGCTGATAAAGCACTTTATTATTTATTTTAATATATTATTATTAATCACACAAAAGGCGATCATTTTTATGATTGGAAGATTCATTTTGCTTACCACATTTTTCTTACTTTTTTTTTTTGAAATATTTTCATACTATAAACGACAGTAAGAACAAAAAATTTACATAATAAATGAATACCTTTCTGAAAAACAATAAACTGTTGAATAAATATGAATTACTTCGCTTGAAATTTATTTGTTTTAGAAATCACTACAAATTGCAGAGAACAATACATTTCTTTCAAGCCATTGATGAATATAATAACACAAAGAAAACCTTAAGTCCGAAACATCATTATTTTTTAATTCCATTTATATAATATGCTCAAGAGCTATGTTGATAAGCACGCAAAAACATCATAAAACACAACGCATGTCTTTTCATTCAATGACGTATCTGCTTTATCAGCACAGGGCATGCTTTTAGGATGAAATACAGCATTTTTGAATAGATCACACCCGTCAAGTGTGTCTTTTTTCGCTTTGAATGTTCCAATGAAACGAAATGAAAAGATTAACAAAATCACTATCAGTTATTCTGATCGCAGCTGAATATGTAATAATACTGAATATGTTGCTGTATTCACCAAAATCTATATAAATTTAATCTATTTTAATAGAATTTAGTTACATTTTTGAAAGTGAGAGAGTAAACTGTAATGAAACATCCAAATCAAATATTTTATAATCACACTGACAATGCAACGCCCGAAAAAGCCAAACCAGAAGCGTTTTCTTTCATTTTTTTGTAGACGGAATACTTAACGATCCAAATATAGGTAAGGATGACTGAAAATATATTAAATTAATTTACTAATGGCGAATATTACCAATTTTTTTTAGCTAGATTCCTTACCTGAACAAATGCTGCAAGTATTAAGACCTCTTTTGATGTCAGCTGCTTTCTCTTTCTCAGAAAATGGCAAATAAGTTAGTAACAAAACCAGAGGTGTGTACACAAGGATGAGTAAAATTCCAGTCACATAAATGCAAAATGACACATAGCTTGGTCGATTCTATTAAAATTAAGAACGACACACTTGTATAAATTTCACCACTTTTATTATTTAAGAATTTGTTTTACCCCAATAATTCCATAAAGCAAACAAACACCGATAATTATTCCAATTACTGAGATTTAACGAAATGATTTTAATTGAATGAAGTCGTTATAATGTTTGAAATGTTTTACCAAAAGGAAGTCCATATAAATTTTTATCTAATGGTATTGAAAACAGAGAATAGCAAGAGTATATTGCTTCCACACAGCCCACTATAATTCCACCAGATCTTAAATCGATACAGCAACAAATATTAGAAACAATCATTTCGAACATTTTTTAATATTTATTTTTTTCGCGATTAATGCTTCAAGAAATTAAAAAAACGATCAAGAATATACGATGGAAAGTGTTCAAATGCTTTCGCCTTGAAAACCAAAACAAGACTGACAAAAAGAAAGATTATTATGTCATTATCGGTATACTATCACACTTTAAAGTCAAAGTTCGCAACGTAAATACCTTCATTTGAGGAAATATTAAAAAAATTTAATCACAGCGAAGACGGGACAAGGCGTTATTTAAAAAAAAATACAACTGTTTCTTTTTGCTAAAAATGTTCCAATTTAAAAAAAAAAACAGATTACCGAAATAAATTTTAATAAATGTGATCACAGCTGAATTAGATTTCCATAGATTAGAGAGACTGTCTTCGAATTGATTATGCTGTTATGTTCACATTTATTCAATTTTAATGAATTTGAGTTACATGTTTGATTAAAATATGATTGAAAATTAAATTAATTTCATTCATGTAAATTATAATGATCAAGCTGACGATTTGTCTTCATGGCCAGTCAAATCAAGAGTATCCTTGATTTTTTTATATATCGAATATATTATGATCCAAATGTAAGTCATAATAACTGAAAATTTATTGAATTAAATCAAACAACCAATGTAACCATCTCTTTTCACTAGATCTGTTTACTAACCTGAAATAATGCAGTAAAAAAAATTGAGAAGTATAAAACCAATCCTTGGTTGATATTCGGAACTTAGTAAAATTATTATAAACTCAATTGTCTTAACGTACAAAATAATATTCGAAACTTTGACCATAATAACAATTGGAAACATCAAGCGTGCTTTATTCTATTAAAATGTAGAACGAAATATTTGTATTTTTTTCTTGAAGCTAAGAACTTTGGCAATTTTATGCAAATACCTTATAAATTCCATAGAGCCAACAAAAATAGAGAATGATTGCAATTGCTGAAATTAAACAATATCATTTTAAACATTTGAATGAAAGCTTATATAGTTTCAAATGTTTTACCAGATATAATAAATGCAAACACATCCTGACTACAAACAATAGTGGAAATGCAATTAAATCGAAAAAGCAACAACAATGAAGAACGGTCGGAATTTCCATGTTTTTTTCTTCAATGGTATAAAAAAATACTTAAATAATTTAATAAATTTAGTAAACTTTGAAACTTGATATTTTTTTAATTAGTATTTAATTTATACGATTTGATCAGCAAAATGCTCAAATGTTTTCGTCTTGTTTGAATACAAAATTAAATAAAACTGCATGAATCATTTCATGTTTGATGTTATTTATAGGAAATGAAGAGAAATAGAAAGAGTGCAATTGAGAGAACTTGGTGCAAATTAAATCAGTAAATTATTCATGAAATTCACAAGAATTTTTATGTTCGTACGATACAACTATATGATATTTGAATCTGGTTTGTTATGGGACGTTCCCGCTGATGAATACGGAATTAGTTATAGCTCAAGTCAGTCATGACAGGATGCAAGTAAAACTGCAGCCTGATAAAAAAAAAGTTTAATCTAGTTGCATTTTTTTTAAAACTAATAAACAATCAGCGCACATTGTCTGAAGGTCAACATTCTCGTATCGACAGCAAACTTCCCAGACTAAACAGTGAGTAATGGAAATTTGTAACGTCATTTGTGATCCAAATTTACCCGATAGATTTGTTCATGAGCAATATATGAACACAAAAGCCTTTTCAAAATTCTTCCTCTACAGAAATTAAATAAATATCAAATATGTGCCGGCAAGTACAGAAGAGAGAGCAATATCGAAATCGAAAGAAATGCAAATAAACCAAAGCAAGTACGCTCAAAGCATCATTACTTTATTTTTCTTTATTTCCATTCAAATAATATGCTCCAGAGCTGTGGTTAATAAGCAAAATTTTATTTGTTTGCAATTAAAAATATTAACACTAATGCTGTTACAGAATTTGATAAGTGAGTGAATAGAGTCGATTCGAACCGAAAATTGACCGAAATACAAATGTAAGTTAAATGTAGTGCTGGTAAAACTGAGAAACTGAGATGAACTATTATGACATTATCAGGATGTTTGTGTTCGTCTACTGGATTGTGTTCACCTGAAAATAAAAAAAATGATTTATAGTCATTTGCACGTTAGAAGAAAAAATATTGTGATGGAAATGGTAAAACACTTACGATGTCATCAATTTTCAAAATTGAACGAACCGTTTCGGTTGCTAATGTAATCGCTGACACTGAAACTAGTAGTGGTTGTACAACGTTTTCGGCGAGTATATCGGTGATGGCTCCTTTGCGAACATTGATGCCCGTATTGATTTCACCTTGAGCATGACGACTTCTCAATTCCGTTACGGTGGTAATTGGATTGAGACCAGCATTTTCGGCCAAGGTTGATGGAATCACTTCCAAAGCTTCGGCATATGCACGGAAACAGTATGCATCAACACCTTCCAATGTATTCGAATGTGCTGCCAATTGTAAAGCTAATTCAATTTCAGGTGCACCACCGCCAGCAATCATAGCCTTCTTCTTCACCAAACATCTAACGACGCACAACGCATCGTGAATTGATCGTTCTGCTTCTTCCAACACCAATTTATTTGAACCACGTACAATGACGGAAACGGTGCGTCCTTGATTTTGAATGCCAGTAACTTTGACGAATTTATTTGTTCCACTGGCTACTTCTTCGGCCAAATCGGCTGACACAAGATTCTCGGCCACAAAGTGATCGAGCGAAGCGATTGGTCGACATCCAAGTGTTTTGCAAACGAATTCAATGTCTTCACGCTCGATATCTTTGACAACCATAACCTTGATTTTGTCCAAAAAGTGAATGGCCAAATCGGAGACTGCGTCGCGCAAAATCGATTTTTGAACTAAGAGAACGTTGCAGCCAGCCTTTTTGATTTGTTTAACAATGTTCAAGATGTAGGCACGTTCTTCTTTCAATACACGGTCCATAGCCGCATAGTCGGATACGATGACATTGTGATCCATGTCGGTTTTTGGTGGCGAAATACAGAATTGAATCAAACCAATTTTAACCTTTTCCAAACGTTTTGGTCCACTTACATTAGCCGTTCGTTCGGTGAAGACCAAACCTTCAATTAATTCAGTGTCTTCGGTGGTTCCGCCCAAACTTCGGATAACTTTGATGTTTTTCAAATCGACACGGTCTTCTTGGCCGGGTTCAGTGACTTTTAATACTGCATCAACGGCCAATGGTGCCAATGTACTGCTTTGTTGTGACACAACTTTTGAATTAAGTGATGTGGATGCACTCTTAATCAAAGTCTCGCGGTCGGTTAGTTCGATTGGTTTTGACATTGCTGTCAGAATTTCAACCGCTTTGGTGCTGCAACGCTGGAAGGAATCTGAGATGGCTGTTGGGTGAATTCCTTTTTGTAGCAAACGATCGGCAGCCTCAAGCAATGCACCGGCTACAACGACAACCGATGTGGTACCATCACCAGCTTCGACATCTTGTGCACGTGACAATTCAACCAACATTTTTGCGGCCGGGTGAATGACATTCATTTGCTTCAAAATTGTGGCACCATCGTTGGTAATTGTGACTTCACCATTTCCAGCTTGGATCTAAAAAGAGCACCACAACAACAAAATATTAGCTTATTCATTCACGGCTTGAGTTTTCGGCAGTGACCGGTTCGCGCATATTTCTATGCCTGATAGCTATGCTAAGCATAGCGGAGACGTAAGCCGCAACGCACCCGTCGCCATTCGATTCGAGCTATATTGTATGCGCATGGTCGTCTGCATAAACGAACATGTGTATTGTTCATATAGAGTGAACGGCGATGCGTCGGTTGCGTTTGCGGCTATGCTTGGCATATCTATGCTACCTAGCGTATTTAGGCAAGCATAGAAATATGCGCGAACCGGTCACTGGTTTTCGGTAGATAAAATTGACGAAGAGATTATTTTTTACCATTTTATCCATGCCACGGGGACCCAAACTTGTACGGATGGCATCCGAAACAGCTAAAATAAAAATAAATAGATGCAAAAAATTAAAATTACTTTGATATGAAAATATTATTGCGACAGATGGTTTAAAAATCACAAAAAATTCAATTTACACACAGATGAGTAGCCATAGAAAAGTTTGCCATACAATTGCTACTGTCAACGGTCATATGACTTTAAATTGCACGCAAAAACTGCACGAGACAATCGAAACATTTTAAGTTTTCATTGAAATATCGGTAAACACTAAAAAACTATTTAATTCATAAGTTCATTTTTCGGTATGATTAAAAATGACACCGAATGCGTTCATAAATGTGCTTAACGACAACAAAGATATTTCTAGAATCAATGACTAACCAATGGAACGTTAAACAAGGGTGTATTAACCAAATGTTATTTGCATCACAGATTTACTGAAAACTATATTCATTTCACAATTCAAATGTCACTGGATCAAAATGTTGACATGGAAAATGCAAAAACACACCGAATCATTTCGATTTTCATAGAATTTTCATTGTTTTTTTCATAATTTTCCTTACCTTTTGCTGCGCTAATGTTGCTGCTACGGACATCAGCCGGTTTGCTTTTGTCTTTGTAGGCTTGACTGACGGGTTTTACTTTAACTAAACCACCTTTTGGAGCCATCGTTCCTTATTGATGTGAAAAACTTTGGAAATTAACAAAATTGAGTGGTGCGGATGGCCGATGATTTCGGATTTTTCAGGCAATTTAAATTTCAAACAATGGACCCACTGAATGAATCACTGTTACAGTATAGAGCCAAAGCTGAATTGCTTTGAAGTTTCGATGACAGTAGTCTAGTATTGCCATCGCTGTCATTTTGTAGACAATAAACATTTCTTTTAAAAAAGTTTTTTTGTTTTTGAATTTTTGTGAGGATTTGTGCAAATCCGTTTTTTTTTATTTGAATCAAACTTTAAACGTATTTTTCGTTGAAAATTTCATAAGGTTCATTTCAACAAAAATCACTTTTTACATCAAACTTCGTGAAACTTGGTAAAATTGACAGTTCGTTGCTTTATCCACAATCTGGTCAACCTAAAAATCAATTGAAAGCGGCTGTCAAGCTAAAAAAAACACTTTTTGTACGTATCAAAACGATTAACCAAAGAAATTGTTTTGATTGTAATCGGAAAGAAAGTTTAAAAAAAAAATCAACAAAAATGGCAAAACGGACCTCCGATTCTTTGGTCGCTGTGCACGATTTGAAGCGGTCGAAAAATGAATTGGTTGCATTCACAAATCGAGACAAAGCGCTCCTTGAAGCCGTAAGTTACCTTATTACATGAAAGATACCAAAATTTTACCACCGAAAATATGTTTTTGTTTAGGGTGTCAAACGAACATCGAATCTGTTCTCGCCGATAATGCTGTTGGAAGGTCATGAAGGAGAAGTATTTTCATGTGAATTCCATCCGGAAGGCGAACATCTTCTCTCCACCGGTTTTGATCGAAAAATTTGTAAGTAAAACATTGTTTCACACTCATTATGCAGTACGCAGACAGAGAATAATAATAATTTGTTGGCGATTTGTGATGTTCTTTTTTTACGCCTATCTCTTTCATCTTTTAGTGCTTTGGGAAGTGTATGATGAATGTGAAAATGTGAGCATGATGACAGGTCATACCGGTGCGATAATGGAAGCTCATTTTTCGACCGACGGTTCGAGTGTATACAGCTGTGCCACAGATAGAACCCTTTCCATTTGGGATGTGCCAACATCACAGCGCATGCGAAAGCTTAAAGGTCACACTGGTTTTGTGAATTCACTTTGCGGTACCCGCAGAGGAAATCCAACATTGGTGTCAGGCAGTGATGATTGTACAATTAAAATATGGGATCCACGTAAAAAACAAGTGGTTCACACACTAGACAACAAATTCCAAGTGACTGCCGTTTGTTTTAATGATACTGGTGAATATGTTGTGTCTGGTGGCATTGATAATGATGTAAAAGTATGGGATATTCGTCAAAATGAGATCGTATACACACTCAAAGGTCATTCCGATACAGTGACCGGTGTCACACTTTCGCCGGATGGTTCGTATATTTTGTCAAATTCTATGGACAATACGCTTCGTATTTGGGATATTCGACCATATGCACCGGCTGAACGATGTCTTCAAACATTCATGGGGCATCAGCATAACTTTGAGAAGAATTTACTTCGATGCAGTTGGTCGCCGGATGGTGCTCGAGTATCAGCCGGGTCGAGTGACCGTTTTGTTCATGTTTGGGACGTTAGCACCGGTCGAATCTTATACAAACTACCAGGCCACAATGGCAGTGTCAACGATGTTGATTTTCATCCCACCGAACCCATCATTCTCTCTGGATCGAGCGACAAAAATCTCTACATGGGTGAAATTGACGCATAAGAATTAACATTTTTCCACATTTTTTTTTTTTAAATTTTCATTTATTTTTTAATTCAAATATTATAAAATAACAAAAAGAGATGACGAATTGAATAAAGTAAATCGATTTCGATTTGATGATAAAAAGATGTCTTAGTTTTTCGGCGCTCCATATGCGTCTGGCATACGTTCGATTGTGTATTTGTGCTGTGACACGTACATGACCGGAACACCTGGCGAAAAGAAGATTTTTGATAATTAATTTGATTGTTTTTATTGCTTCTTTGGATGCTCTCAAACGATTTATTTAAAGAAATTTTCAAAATGTAACAAAAACTCGAAGCTCACCTGGAATTTTTCGAATGCGATTCTTCAAATCTCTGTCATTGGTTGCAACAATATAGCATTTGTGTTGAGTAATACGATTCACCAGACAGTCATCAGCATATGTACCTTTGTGCATACAAGTTATTCGCTGAAATCGTGGATCTTTCACAATTTTCAATGCCATTTTATACTTTTGGCCCATTTTTTCCAATTCAGCCATCACACAATCCGTTATATATGGGATACATTTGGCATACAAACAGTCCATCATATTTTTAATAATATCCAATTTGTTTTTGATGCTATAGTGCACGAAATTGGTATCGACCAAAATGTGATAAGGTGGACCTAATTGCGTGTTATACTGGAAGAATAGTGCCGATGATTGTTGTGGCGCTTCGGTTATTTTGAGCTCTTGGGGATCGAGTGGCTTCTTCTTTGGTGGTGCACGGTCTTTTGCTTTGAGTCGAGAATCTGTCGGCTTTATCATTCGATTCAATTGGGCTTTTCTCTGCTTCGAATTCACCTTACACTGTTTCTTTCCCTTCGATAAAAACAAATCAACATTTTTTTTTAGGTTAGAATCATAATGAAAACATAAAGTTCAATTGAAATTTTTATAAAATAATCTTATTTTTTAATTTACCATTTTGATGTTTTTCGGCCTAATTTATTGGTAAACAAAGTAATTTCAGCTTTTCTCCTCGCAAACCTTGAGTAACAGGCATAAACTAAAAGCAAATTATCAACACGTTTGCTTTGAGTGTAAACATAAAATACCACATGATGAACGGCAATGACAGCAATAATGTTGTCAATTTTCGAGATAGTAACGCCATCTTACGGTGGTTGGCAACGTTCGCCATCGTGGAACAAAACCAATTGATGATTTTTTTTTCATTAAATTAACGTGAGAATTCTTAGGATTATTTATTCATTTTCTTGTAATTTTTCATTGAATAAAAAAAGCTTGATTTGGAACAGAAAGAATTCGGATAGAAGAAAACGCAAAATCCAAATCAAATGTTTAAAATTCAAAACAAAGAGACCAGAAATGCTTAGTTTTAAACAAATCCAAGCGGCAAATTATTCTCAATTAAATTGCATTTTCAACACGTAAGAGTGGTAGCTGGTGTACCATTGAGTTCTGCTAGTTTTGCAGCAAATGAATCAGTGGCCGTTAAATTGCTTGATATTATTTGTTTAGCATGATCTGTGTCCATAATTACATGTTGCATCATTATCGTGTTTGTGTGTATTATTCGGTTTATATACGTTCATCATTTGCCGAAGCGAGTGAGCGAGCACAAAAAAAGCATCAAAAAACCTCCATTTGAGTGTTGTATGCAAGAATAAATTTTTATTTCGCTGATTTTATTTTTATCCAATTCGATTTCAGTAGACAATAAAATTACAAATCTTATTTGCCGCTTGCAACAACAACAACATCAAAATTATCTTCATGCCGCTTTATGAATATGGTAGTCGGTTTGGTTTTTGATTAAAACCATAAAAAACAAAAGCCACTATAAAAACGGTGAGTATCTCAAAATGTTATTAATCTAGAATATTGCAAATCTCAATCTTCATAAGATGCTAATGACTTAGTTTGATTGGAAACGAGTGTATTTTATTCGCACATTATTTTCGATGTATTGTAATTATGCTGAGAAATAATATTATTTTTGTGATCTTCACAAATTGACATGAGAATATCTTGAAAAAAAAGAAACATCAAGTCAAAATTCATTTTAAAGAACATAAGAACTACAAGAACACTGGTTCAATCCTACGGCTTATGATGTTTGCTCTTTGTGTATTCAACTGTTGTCGTGTAAATATTGTTTTAATGACCTCGGTAACAAAACCGAATGGAACGCATTAAATCTCGTATATAATAACCGAAGATGTCACATTATTGTGTAAAATATCGAAAATTCATGTTTTACATGTTCCAATTTCCACAGAGGTACATTTTCATTTTTATACAGAGTTTGCAAAGCATCCCTTGACACGGAGGAGGGAAAAAAACAACGACCATCGTCCATTTATTATTTCAATGTTGACTATTTGTTTCGTAAAAAAATGATAGCTTGTTCAACATTAGAAACGGCTTTGAATGTGCAAATAATTGGTGTGGAATGGGAAAAAGTAAAGAAGAGCATCCAATGATTTCGACAATATTTTCGGTTGGACCCCAGGGGTATTTACAAGCATTTGTATTCTGGTGGAGAGTCCAGTGAAAAGTGTAACAATTACAAAATGATTTTTGTTGCAAACGGGCCTCTTTCGTGATACGTGCTCACAACACATATTTTTTTTTATTTCAATCTTTGCTACTTTCTTCGTATTATAATCGAATTGTTTTTTTGATCGTCTTTGTCTCAATTTTGTGGCATTTTTATTTGAATGCCTTTTTAAATACGGTAACAATTTCATTCAATCAAACATTTTATCGGGTCAGAACATCAAATCGAGAATACAAAAAATTGAGCATAGAAAATATTTTTTTAGACCAAGAGTGGGAGTTAAAGAGAGAGAGAGAAAGAGAGCGAGAGACAACAAAGAAATATGTGCGGATATCATGATAATGCCGATTTGGTTGCATTCATCAAATGCCATCGTCTCATTCGTGCAATGAGATTCGTAAATAGAATGTAAGTGACCGAAGCATATTTTATGCACATATTCTGTATGAAATAATGAGACGATGAAAAATGACATTGCATTAGTGTGGCATGAACATTCATTGGCTTGCATTAAACCAAGAATTAAATTAACAAAAGGAAATATTAAACACCGTTGTTGACGCATTCCATAAAAAATGGTCTTTGTCCATATAGTAATCGTTCATACATTCACCAACTGTGGTGTTATTGCCGTTCTCTGCCATAGCAGTAGAAAATCGTATGTATTTATCTTCTTTTTTGCAATGTAATGCTGCAACGATACATCATCGAATCATTAGAATAAAATCGCAATGAAATCAATATTCGCACACGTATTCAGTCTTCTTCGGTTCATGTTTAAGGAGATTTCTTTTTCCGTCTGACTTTTCTGAATATTTTCACATCCCATTTTAGATCATATTTTCAGTACGCATGTATTTTATGCCTTAATTCTCTTTCCAAGTGCTAAAGTTGATGATGAACAGTGTCGCACAGCGTTCGAAATTTAAATACACAAACCGAATGTAGAAGCGGGCATTGAATTCGTCAAGGGTGCTTTGCTTGAATTAATGGCAACATCTTGTGAAATGTGTTTTATATAGAGTTGTGTATGTGGCTGACACTGCATCCGGTGGTATAATTACGAAAGCATTTAGTTGTGAAAATGGCACACCTTGTGACTAATGTAAATGTCGTGGCAAAAACGAACTTTTAATTTCGGTGCAGAAACGGCACTTCGAATCACCAATTTCCATCTTGTTTCGTACGAGAATGTCATTATGTACGGTATATATGTATGTGTTTGGGATGTGCGGAGATGGAGAATGAACATTAAATATAACTCATATACCATTGTGCATATAAGCAAATATTGGAACAATGAGAACCCCTAATGGCTTCAATTTACATAAAAAATTATTCAGAAACGATTCTATATTGGTCGGAACACACGTTCATGCCTCACAACATTCGATCTATATATATATTCGGGTCTCATTATAGTCGGTGGATGCTGTGCATGGTAATATAATAAGATTTCGATTGTATGCAGCATCGACAGCACCATCGCGCGTACATTCGAATATTCCTTACCCTTCATTTTAATAATCAAAATGATAATAATAGTAATAATGCTAAACGAAATTTTTCGATGGTGTACTGGCGCATGTGCACTATTATGCCACAGGCACACATTATGCACATTTTTATTTTCAACCATCGAGAGCATATTTATCTTGATTGTCGATATGGTGTGGTGATGTGTGCTTGTATGCATGTATGGTGTAGCATGTCTACTTCGTGTATACGTACAATTGTAGTCATAAAATGTGTCTATATGATTTTAGCAAGACATTGAAATTAGTAGACGATTCGACTGTCGAAAATGGTTTGCATCAATGAAATCTCATTCTCTTGCCACTTTCTACCACCATCCGGCACGACACCATGAGAGGTGAATGAAAGATCCTTACGCGAAACCATACACACAACGCACAGTGCGATAGAATCAAAAGAGAAATGTACATTTTTATTGATTTTTAGCGTTGCGTATTTATTTAGTGTTGTGTGATGTGTGGTATCTGGTACAATGAGAGTACGTGTAGAACGAAACCGAATGAACGGAAGAGAGAAAGAGAGTGAGCGCGGGTGAGATGCTTAATGTTTTTGCGTGCCAAAGATGTGTTTACTGCCGGAATCAGACGCTCCGAAAAATACTACCAGCTACGGGGTGGCGAGCAAATTTCCATTGTGAACAACGAAATGTATGCGGAAACAAAACTAACGTGACTCACTATTTCGGACGATGTGAACCACCGATAAAAATCGATTAGCAGACAGTGTAAATGAACGACGAATGAATCTGTCGTCATTTTTTTTTTCTTCGCTCATCTTCGTTACGTTCAATTTTCGATGATGGTCAGCGTATTTCATTTTGACGATTGACTGCAAATATTTGCAACGCAAAGGGAAAAATCACATACCACAAAAGTCATTCGAATCGATTACACGACCCGAAACCGAATGGCCTTAAGAGAGAAAAATCAATAAAAATAGCATTGACGGTATGTGTGTGTGTGTACGGTCGTTTGACCTTTTCTTATTTAGCAATGAATTAGACGGTTTCTCGCTAAACATGTCACAATAGAAATGAGCATCACTCTTTCTCTATCGCTGTGATTCTATAGACACCATTTGCTTTAACTGTAAAAAAACGTAGCTCAAACATTTAGCCATGCACACGTAATTAGTCAGCCTCTTTGGTTTAGCGGCGCATAATTATGTCACTTAATGATGTTGACAATTATCATGTGCGCGTTTGCTTATAGAAAGCTTCGTTGAAATTAGCCAGAACAGAACCAAATGGCCGTTCGCATCTTGCTAATTGTTTATTTTTATTCCTATCTCTTCCTCTCTCTCTCTCTCTCTCTCTCCATATAATTGTGTCGCGATGTATAAATTTTAAAGTTTGTTTATTATCCCCGTCATGAATCGGTCGCGCTCTGTTGTTATCGTGCTCTTCTTCCTTTTCGCAATGTTTTTTTTACCATTTCAGAATTTTTGCGTAGCTTTCTCGTTTGAGAGTTTCAATTGACTTCGAGAAATGAAATGTCACACAGTGGCTTCGCACAGAAAAAAGCATTCGCAAAGTCGAGTGCGTGCATTCAGAATCATCATCATCGTCGTCTTCGTCATCATCAGAATTGTGAACACATAAAACATACACATTTGACTGGTGATGTGTTATGTTTTCTGATGCGCTATTTGACTGACTGAGTAGAACGAGCAATGCGATACAGCGTTGTTATATATATGTGTGTGTCAGTTTTAGTGACCAGATCAGTATATGAAGAAACTGGCATCGAAACAAATACTACGCGAAAAAAGATGATCAAATTTACAACAAGAAAACGACGACGACGACGAAGACGACGAACGTTGAGAAATATGCGCAGTCGGATTCGATCAAAAGATTGCATAAACAATCATTTTGCCAATAAAGGATTGTTTGAATATTTTAATTCTTTGAGAGAGTCACAGTTGCCGCTATACATTCTACTATAATCCAATGCATGTTCTGATGATGTGACTGTGCTACTGAATATGTGTTTTTTAGTTTTGTGCACTCTTTCCAACCACCGCAACTGATGTGCTTATGTGATGATGTGTGTTTTTTTCACAGATTTTGATCGCTTCACATTCTTCATGTATTAAATGAATAACAACAACAACAAAAACAACACTGGGGCGAAAGAGAACCGCGATGAGTACTGCACATTTATCTCCTTCTCTCTCTCTCTTACTCCAATCTGCACTTCGGTCAACATAATTGCAAGCAAAACAAACGACTGTTCCAGCGATAATATTGTATTGTTATAATATTTTTATTCTCATTTGATGACTTTGTTCGCGGGCTTATGCGAGATCGACACAATTGTGTACAGAATGTGTCTGTCAGTAGCCACTTGCTATAGCTTGTTTCTTTTCGTTTTTTTTCGTATGTTGTTATGTTTGAATTTTTCGGCGTCTGTTTCGTCAATCGAAGCTATGTGTGATTTTAAATGTGATTTTACATCGATTTACATGCAAACCAATCGATTTTGTTCAATGATTGCCGTGACTGTGTTTGCCGTCTCCACGCCCGGAATTCCACCAAGAGAATATATTCTATCAAGTACATAAATCGCCTACTGATTGTTTATGATTTATCGGCTTTGTTTTCCGCTGAAACACACTCATTCGCCAGATAACTTCTGTAGTATAGTTTTGTGTTTCAGCTGAGCTGAGATTCATGACTCGTGTATTCCAACTTTTAACATATATCAGTCTATTTCGAATGGCTTTGTAATACACACGAATGGAGGCTGCTTTTATTTAAGGATATGCACGTCCTTTGCGAATAATAAGCAAGTTTGTGTTGTTATAAATTTTCCCAGATTTACATATTCGCTGCGCAACAATATATAATTGCAATGAGCACAGAAAAATGCCATCGATAAATTATGCGCTCATATTTTATGCGCGATTCCGAATTGTGTATATACATTCGTTCGATTCATGGTAATTTTCAGTGTATATTTTGTTATTTTCATCATCTACTTCTTCTTATTTATTTTTTTCACATATTCATTAGTCGCTGCTTCTCCAAATAAATTAGTTCTTTTGTAGTTGTATAATTAAATAAAGCAATAAGATATAATTAAATGCCATGATAAATTTGTTGGATATATTGAGAAAGACTTTTTTTTAACGATTTTATGCCTTTCATCGCTTTAATCTCTGTGTGTGCATGTAGCACACTGGCGAAGACACTTTGGTAATGGTTTTGCTCTCATTTATAACAAAACAATGTTTGCGAGTTGTGACGTCGTATTTGCACAGAAGTTGCCACAATATTCTCTCTCTCTCTCAATGGAAGAATATCATCTTTATTAAGAAGTGGAAGTGGCCACAACACAAAACCGAATCCGAATGTGCTTCGATATACAGATTGCACTCGCACCGCACAATGCACACTCGCAAATGGTGCAGATGAATTTGTGAATTAGCACAAAAACATATATGTATACATAATTCACTGGCTGATGCGCCATGTGTATCTCTCACGGTCCGAAATGAGAGTGAATGCGCGCGCCCGACAAATGCGCGCTCAATGCAAAAGATGAACAAATTAACAATATATGAAAAACATGTGAACTCATATCGACTCAAGGAACAACGAAAAAAAAAACCCGTCGAAGAACGGCCAGTGCTTTTGTTCGGAGTTTTGGTTCTCATTCGTTTGCAGTCGTGGTCGTCTGCTTCTGCCATTATTCTATCGATTTGTTTTCATCGCAGCTCTTAAAACATTGTTGTTGTTTTTTTTTTTATTTGCCTTATTGAGCAGAAAATGCGGTTTTTTCCTCTTTCTTTTCGCTCTCTAGCTCAATCGAATTAATAACAAAGAGTCGATGGGTCGTCCGATTGACTTTATTAACGATAATTAGTCAGTAATTTCATTTAAATGTGGAATATGTTACTCAAAATGTATTGGAAGTCTTCGGCCATCGAACTGTTTGGCATTTCAATTGAATTATGTGCATGTGTCTGCGCCTAAAGCCGATAGACAATGCAAACGAGGCGAATGTTTTTTGTGAAGTCACAGCATGGAATGAAGTCGATGAACAGAAAGCGAACAGAGATAGAGAGCGAACGAGAAAAAAAAACTCTAGAAAATTGTATGCATATTTTCTGTGAAACGCCAAATGACATTCATTCGTCTTCGACAATAGACAAATATCGGATGGCTTTTGTGTATTCGGAGCTCTCTCTCTCTTTCTCGCTCCAATATGTACTTCGATAGCATTGATGCCGATCACGATCAAAGGAATTTAAATATTTTCCTAACGATCAGTAGCAGTTGAGGCAAAAAAACGACAGTGCAGGTTTGCATGTGGTTAGCGGTACACAAATGAATTCGAGGCAAGTACCGAAATGTAATCACGCAAAACAATCGAAATGCAATCGAATCGGAATGTGTGCGAGCGAGCTATTGCTCTTCGTTTTTGATATGTTATGTGTGTGCGCATCATCAACATGAAGACAATCACTAATTAATTATTATGCGGGCCGAATGAAATTCGTACAACATTGAAATACAACTGCTCTTAAGAGCGCCACAGAAAAAATTGCGTAGTGTTTTCTCACTACCTCTCTCTCTCTCTCGTTTCGTTCATAAGATATAGTATACAACCGAAATAGCAAATGCACCCATCGAGCATTTATATTTCTTTTTTTTTTGTGCCACACAAAACAGCGAGAAAAAAAACCATCCGAACAAACAAACAAACAAAACATTTAATTTATGAATTAAGAAAACTACACACATTAATTATAGAGAGCGCGAGAGAGAGCCAGAGTGGTCATCGGAATTAAAATTGTAAATTGCGTTGAAGTAGTGGCGCCAGTGCAGCCGAAAAATTATTTAATCGTATTGCCGAGCCGGCCTGATTTTCATTGTTGTTGCCTTGATATCGATCAGTAATGCAAAACAAGCCCCGAAAATATGCTCGAAAATGCTAAATAAAAAGCACAAACGCACCGTGTGTGCGCCATTTCAAATGCATATGATTATTGGTCATTTAGGTGCTTGGGAAACGGTGGATATAAAAAAAACCACATGTGAATAATAATTTTTGGGCAAGTTTATTGAATCTTCCCAATAAAAATCAATCCCATTTTTTTGTTCGGTGCGCGCCAATCGCTGATCTTTGGTGCTCACGCGCGGAGAGTTTGGTTTTAACCATAATTTATTGCATTAAATTAAAGTTTCTTCAAATGAATCGCTCATTTATCATTAATATAATAATTTTTTTCCAACTTGGAATGATAAAATGTTTGCGTCTTTTTTTGTGCGCGGCTTGTATTCGGTCGTAGCCAATGGAATCAATATTCGACGAGCGAAAGAGAGACAGAAGCAAACGAATTCAAACTTTTGTCCATATTTAATTTTTTTTTTAGAATCCAACACACACAGCATGTGAATAAGCGTATTCAAGAGTAAACACGTCTATAAATTTTAGACATGCGCTCAAAAAGGCCCAATGAAAATTCTGTTCGAACATAATTCGTAGGTAAATGGGCAGGCAAAAACTCGATTCCCCACTACATCACCCGCTTTTTTTACGTTTTTTTTTATACTTGACTCGCTTTAAATTGACGAACACACAAACAAAACACGTCACATCGATATTTGATTTTAAGCACTGACGCACCAGCTCGCGCGCACAAACACACACGCACGCACTTTTGTCAATCACTTTTTTTGAGTTTGTACGTTCTTTCGCATTTTGATGGGGCCGCTCTTTTGACCATTCGACGATAAGCTAACGGCAAAACGAACGAAAGAAATGAAAATAACACGTAAATGCCAAATTAGAAATTTAATATAAGAACCAATGGACGAGGTTCTACGAACAAATATAATATGATACTTTGAAGCGATAGAAAGCATTCCATTCTTTTTTTTTACACACAGAATATATGAAGTAACAAGACTTTGGCAACAGAGACCATTGAATATGGCCATAAAAGCAGTGACTAGACGAAGAGTATAAAACATTCTTGCTCTATTTCAGGCAAAATTTACGATTTGCGAATAAGACTCTTGAAATTGATGAAGTGCAATCGTGAAATATGCGGCGACTAATTTTGATTCAAGTTGAAAGAATTCGAGCAAAATGATATTAAAATGGATACTTAATGAATTTGATGTACAATTTGATAAAAAAAGATCGTTGGCTTTTTTTTATTTCAGATTTTTAGATAAGGATGAATTATAATACTGTAAATGGAATTTTCCCGAAGAAAAAAATATTTTTAAATGGAAAAAGTAGCAAAGAACCATAATTCACGCTTTCTGGCATACTTTATTGATCTTCTGGAGATAGAGATAGATAGTTTTTCCTGACACTTCAGCAAATAAATAAAACGAATGAGTTTTCATATAGTTTTGAATATTTAGCTTCTTTTCTACTGACCCCCTTCTTCAAACACATTTGAAAACAGGAAGAATTACAAGATCGTTACTTTTATCTTTCTTCGATTATATTTTCATTTCTTCAATGTTTTCCAAGTCACAGTTTCCCCTTTTGAATGCTTTACCCCTTTTGCGTTTTTTAATGTGAATATTTGCATGCGTGAATTTAAATCATACATACAAATAGTTGTGTGTATGAAATTGAGGCCATTCCAGTTCTAAAACGGTCTCTTCCAACGAATATAAAAAAACGGTATTCTATAACCATCCAATCCGAGTCGCATACGAAAAAGGGTGAAATTTACATGATTTTTAGTACAGTAAATCGAAACAGGAACACATGTAACATTGCTAAAAAAGGGAGACGTATATCTTCGATGAGTGAACCGAACAAAAAATGAACGTTTAAAAAAGGGGTTGAAATAGTTGCGTTCAAAAAAGGCATTCAATCTATTTTTGCATTCAGAAGGGTTAGCACGTGCTACGCAGAAGAAAAAAAACATACACAATCAGTTCGGTTTTCATTGGTGCAATAGAAAATTTTTTTTAAAAAAAACGAAGCGCAGCTGCAAAATTCAAATGAGTTTAAAATTTCTATTGGATCAATGCGCATCCCTTCTACTTCGGTGGTGTTGTGATTTGAATATGCAAAATAGAAATGGAGTAGAATCGTTTAAATAAGTCTGAGCGGTAGGCAGATTTTGTGAGTGACTCGAACGAACAACATGGCGTTCTTCAAACGGGATAAAAGTCGACGTGTTAAAAAGAAGAAATCATTCAGTGTCATTCAAAGTGAATACTTGTTTTGAAGTTCAAAAAGTAAATATTCAATTCCATGTGGATTTGCCGTTGCCTACTTTGAATTGGATTATAGCGGCTTTTTTATGGCTACCATCCACTTACGATATACGATCTCGAGTGAGTGTTATTTGCAATTATTTGTTAGAGATTGTCGAAAATTAAACATACAATATGCGTTCTTCGACGCATTGAATTTGAAAAGAGAATAAAAAAAAATCGGGAACAATCAGATTAGATGATTTATGTAATGAAAACGAAAATACCAAAGAAAAAAAATCAAGAGTGTGCGTATGTGTCCAAAGATATTGCTTTTGTTCGTTGTGTATTTCAAAAGTGGGGTCTCTTCCAAGTGAATTACATACGTTTTACTTGATGCTTGTTTTTTAATGCGCTCTCGAGTTTTTTTTACTTATAAATTTGGCTTGTATTTTGAGCTCTTCACATTTCGTTTTTTTTTTGCCCGTGTGTATGCGTATTCGATCAATAATTTTGTACGAAAGAGATATATGCTCGTAGAATAATCGTGAAATTTATTTGTGTTTTATGGTGGCTCAAATTCGATGGAAATTCGAGAGGGTTCTTCTTGATGTTTTCTAATAAATGTGTATGTGTTTTTTTCGTCTTCTATTTCTCCATCATACGTGTGTGCCATTGATTGTATATTGTTTTGGATTCTCTTGTTTTGCTAGTTTTGATGGTGAAGAGGCGAAGGCGAATCGAAATGCAATGTGAAATAAAATCGAAATCAAACAAAAATAGGGAAAACGACTCGATGAAATTGGTCAGTGGCCGCATCAGTCATCAAAATCTAGACACTTTCGATGTTATAAAATGTTGACATGCAAGAGAAAGAGAACGAACGAAGTGAATGTCCGAAATGTTTAGTGTATGTGTTCTTTTTTCCTTCATTTGGATTTTGCTTATTTATGTGATATTTTTTTTTCGCCAATCGACGTTACTCTTTAAAAAGGAGACCGAAAAATCGAAAAGGAATGTATTTTTTTTTTCGTTCATTCGCAATTTTTACACATATTCTGACATAAGCGAAAATGGTAAATAATTGTAAAAATTTTGTTGATGTTATTCTGTGCTGTTGGTTTTTGCTCATTATCGATGTTCAGTGTTTGGTATATTATGATTTGATGTGTGTGTGTGTGTGTGTGTGTTGAGTGAAAGAAGAAGGTAAAATGCTTGACAAAGCACCGGCAACCAAATACTATTTAAAATTGTTCACACAAGCATGATGAACTTCTTTTATTTCGATTTATATCTTCGTTTTGCTGAAAAGAAGAAAATATTGTGCACATGCGAATTTTATTTGCTTGTGTCTCTTGTGTCTCTCGTGCTCTCTCTATCCTTCTCTTGCTTCTATTCTACGGTGTGTGTGCAGGTTGCTAATACGTTTGCTTCGTTCCATCGACGAAAATCGATTGAATGATTGAAAAGAATGGAAAGAAGCAACCGAATCAAATAAAAATTACTTGTTTGTTTGTATTTGAAGGGGATATTTTTGCTTTGATATTGAAAATGCTTTTACTCGAATCTCTCTCGTATTTTCATTTGGTTGTTATTTCTCTAAGTGCCAGATATGCAATTTAATTGGATAGGTTTGAATTTCGAATGTGTGTTGAGCGCGTGGACATTATAAATGGAATACTGGACAAAATTTACTTTCATCTGCCAAAACATTCGCACTTATTAGACTATCTTTCACTCTCTATCCATTCGTAATTCTTTTTGTCATTTATTTTGGTATTTTTTTCTCTCTCTATCGATAAGAGATGGCCGCTCTCTTCGATACACACTTTTTGTTTCCAACTTATTCGTTTAAATCCATACGCTCACGATTTATATACAATGTATTACATAAATGTATGGGTTTTGTGTGTAATTTATTTTGCATTCCTCTATTTGAAGTATTAAGATGGTTTTATGGGAAATCGTACAGCCCCTCTGTCCCGTCAATCGTCATCCGATGAAACGAACAGGCTGAAAAAAATTATTCGTCTAAATAACATGGAATATTGTGTTTAAAAAATACACAAAAACTGCGTCGAAATTGAAGGCTAAACAAGAAAATTCCATATGTATGATAATGAACGTTTTTCTCCAATTTCGGATTTTTCCATGCGTCACTTGAGATGAACGTACACACAAAATTCTCTAGTCGGCGATTAGAGCGGCTTTTGTGAAAAATTCAAGCCGATTTTTTTTCTTATTTGTCCGGTGGGCATACACACACTCACCGTTCAACAACAACAAAAAACCGAACACAAATTCTTCTCTTTTTCTTCTTTCAAGCATTCGAGAGACGGAGAAAACATTTTAACCAAACGAATTCGTGCAAAATTGACACAACAACAACCACCGCAGCGAGTTGAACCCCCTAATGACAAGAAAACATTCGGCTCAGCAACGAAATGCAAAGATAAACACAATTTCCAAAATGAAACGTAAACACACACGCATTCGAATTGTAAATTTGGTGTTTTTTCTCTTCTTTTCGGCAGTTTTAGCATTGTATAAACATATTCTAATGGATGTGACATGTGAATGAAGTGAGGAATACATCAACTCCCTCACATACATGATTTGACGTTCGACATTTGCACCGAAATCCCAATAATGGAGACAAAGCACAGAACAATATCGGCGGAGGAGTTCTGAGTGACAAATGGTGTACCTTTCGGCAGTGTGCATATATATTCATGACTTTGACACACGTGTAGTCGAGAAAGTGACTAACTTTGAAACTGTGTTTAAAAATTCTTTTTACTAATTCGTTTCGATTCACTGACAAACGAACAACCCACACAAATTATGCCATTTTTTCCACCGTTGTTGTTATGATTATTATTCAATGGTAAATCACTGCATTAAACTCCCTTTTTTACCCTAGTTTTACAATAAAATTGTGAAAAATCAAGTCGAAATCGTTATTTTTTTTGGGCATTGAATTTGATTTTCAAAAATTGCGCGTGAATAATTTTATTATATGCCACATTTGAACCAAATGAATGAAAATGTTTTCAAATTTACTCAATTGTTAGCGAGGCTTACAGTTGCGGTGAATAATAGAATTTATAGCGTTTTCTTCATGATTTTCCAGTTTTTTTTAAGAATTTTGTGGGGTGAATCAAAATTCATAGATCATTGTTCGCATTTTGATTCGAGCGCATTTTATTTGTGTGAGAACGGACGACCGATTGGCAAGTGTGGTGTGTATGGGCGCGCACTCACGCGCATATAAAATATGGGTATGAAAACATTTTATACGATATAATAAACATTTTTGTTGATTGGATCGTCGTTGTCGGTGGATGGCATTCTTTTTGTGAATTGGCTATGAAATGAAAATACATTCAATTGCTTATAGGGTGCATATAGCAAATGGATCAATTTTTTTTTTATTTCAAAACCGAAATCGAATTATGTGCATAAATTTTGCAATCCTCTTTCACATCACAACAAATTCTCGCTCTCTTTCTCTCTCTCTCTCTCTCTCTCTCTCGTTCAGTCGATATAAGATGAACATTTTACATTATATTTTTATACATTTGACCCAATCTAAGGTATTAACATTGTAAGAAAAACCGATTTCAACTTATTGAAGAAATAGATGGTATTTCTGAATGTATTCTGTCGGAAAGATAGAACTTTCACATTCAAACGAATCAAACGATTGAGAAAAACTATTTGAGCTATATTTCCGGAACGATAATAATGTAAGCTTTGAAAGTTCAACTTTCTTGGATAATCTCCAAAGTAAATTATATCCGATGCAACGTATAAAATGATATCATGCGTTCATCATTCAAAGCGATTCAAAGTTAACATATTTTCTTCGTTGAAATTCACCAGAATTTTTAGAAGAGAAAGAAAAATGGCAGTAAGAGAGATGTTGCAAGTAGACGAAGAGGTAAAAAGCCTCTTTTTTCTTTAAAACTTCTATAGGTTTGGAATAAATAGTAAACAAAATTCGAACATTTTTTAAACTTATTTTATAAAAGTTTCTTTTTGAATGATGAACTATTTGCTTCGATTTTAATCTTTTAAATCGTCTTCCATTCAGACTTCTGGGTAAAAATCCTCTTCACCAAGAGCCGCTAAGTCCTCGCCTATCATCAAAAACACTCTTCGATTCAAATTCATTCAAAATAAAGTCATTCTTATCACTTATGACAGTCCATGAGATACTCCAAACTGATGTCCATGTCATATTCAAACACATACATTAGTGTTGTGCATTTTTTTCACGGTATTTTGTGTGTTAGACACGTTCCATATCATATTGTTATTATAAATGTTTCAAAAAATGCTCCCTTGAACTCGAATTATTATTATTTGATGTGTATATATGAAAGCGTACACCACATGGACATTCCCTTGATTGTGCAAATAATCATTTATCAATTTTCATAATCGACTTTAGATAGGATTTCACCAGAAAAATAACATTGCCGAAAAAAAAGGCAGCGCCAAATGCAAAGGAATCGAAGTGTATGTGTCGATAAAAAAATGGCAGGCAAAACAGAGTGTGAGTGAGCATAGCAATGAGATCACCCTCAAAACGTCTGCAAGGGATAAACACAAATTATTATTTTATTTTTTTATGTTTTATGGTAAAGTTTTTTTGCTTCCCATTCCGCACAGTGCCACTTTTATTGCCAATGGATTTGCCTGTATGCATGAAAGTTATCAATTCTTTCTCTGGTTTTTTTTTCTTCTGTCGGCTCCCGATTTGGAGAGTGTAATATAAATAATGTGCAGATTGTATCCGATTTCCACCCTTGTTATAAGTCATCCCTTGCGAAAAAAAAATTCGAGAGCCACATAAGACATACACACAAACATCACTTAATGCACATAGTGTGTGCGTATGCATTGATTGTATGTGCAGGGTTACTACATCACAAATAAAGAAATAAATGACAGTGCGCTCATTCGGAATGTCTTAAGTTTTCCTGTCTTCGCATTCTGTATACCTATATTGTCCGTTCTTTGCATTCTATTCACACTTTCACTTCAGGCACTATAAATTATAAACGAAAGACGATGATTATGTTTTTGAACTCGTTTCAAACCGATTGTACTTTTTTGTTCTGTAAAAACTGACTTCCGATTATTTAAAAAAAGTGTCATGTCAATAAATAAACGGAGTCACACGCACAGACATTTTGCTTGTACTTTGAGTTGCAAAGAAAGCACTTTGATAGCAAAATCCATGTGTAATTGCTTCACCAAAGGGGGTGGGAATGACCAAAAAAAAGATGTGGATGGTGATAAGCAAATGCGGCAACTTTTTGGAAAATTTATTATTAACTGACCGCTGATCAAAAATGACCCTCTTGAAAACCAACCAGATCCTTAGATAAACGAATTAACACCCATTGCCTTGATGCTACAAGAAGAGAAAAACCATTCATGGTCCATGTTATCATCGCACGTACTTTTGGAATTAATCAAAACTCAAACTGTGCACCATAGCTCCGACCAAACGGAATACGATGAATCGGACGTAATACATAAAAAAAGATGAAATACTGGCATCGAACGAACCTCTTATATTTTGATTTAGCATATTATGATATTGTGCGTTGCGCACACGCATAATGATGTGCAAAGAACAAAAGCAAACCAACCGAATTCGGACCGAGGGCCACTGCTCATTACGAATGCACATCAGACAATTCAAGACATGACAACGTGCAAATGTTTTGTATCACACACAAACACACACACAGCAACAGCAACGCTGAAAAAATATTGTATTCATTGCTGTTGAGTATATGTAATTTGGAATATGCGTGCGTGCAACGAACAAAAACGAAGTAGAAAAAAAGAAATTGTTAAAATACGACGAGAAAATACGCAAACAACATCCAAATCCAAAATGTGCCACAGTGGGAAAATGTCTCAAAAAATATTTTATCGAGATCTGCATACTCCACATAAATCCTCTCTCTCTCTCTCTCTCTCTCTCTCTCTCTCGCTTTTTTATGCTCACAGCTACATTTCATTTGAAATAGACGAAATTCTATGTTCGAATGGAATGAGTTCCATACACAATTGCTGTCATTATTTTTCTTGACAGCTCAACCATACAATATCAATTGCAACTGGAATCAAGCGAAATAGTTTTTCTTCGGACATTTTCAAAAACGTTGCCAACAATTCCGAATCGGTCTTCTTTTACGTTTTTTTTTTTGATTTCTGTAGTCAGACGACTGAACTCTGAAAAGAATTTGTTTTCTCGCTTCGATTCCTTTAAATGAAAAAGGAAGTGTTGCATTTTAGTTGAACAAAAAGAGAAATGAAAAACTTTTTCACCCTCATATTTCAATTATGCACAATGTTGAATTTGCGAGATTTTGACTATGACTGAATGGTTGGCCATTGAAAACATTTCCATGTTTACATACATACGTATGTCGTCTGCGCAAACATAATTTTTTCGAATTCAGAGAACAATCCAATTTTCTATGCAACGCATTGAGGAATATACATAATAATGAAACAAATACTATAGCAAAATGAGTTCCAAAATTTCAACCAAAAACTCCATAAATAAATTGGAATGAAGTCATAAATATTGCGGAAAAAAGTATTTCACTAATCTGAATAGCTATTTCGATTCTGCCGACGCAGGCACTTTCAATCAAATTCTGGCTCATAGTTAATATATTTTGTGTATGCATATCGCATAAAATGTGCTGAATTATAGATTCGGACCCTTTTTCATTCGTCTGGCGTGTGGATTTCATGCAAGTGTCATTTTCGCTCGTTCTCTTTCTCTCCCACCCTCTCTATTTTTCTCTCTCTCTCTTTTTCTCTCTTTCTCATCAAATGTGCGTGTATATTTAGTAAAACTGTTCATTTTCCATTTGTTTTATTCCATGTATATTTCGGGGCATTAATGTGCCGTCATTGCGATGAAATTCATTTTGATGGCGAATAAAGGTTTATTAACATCGTAGCAAATTCATTCAAATCGGATTCGCATTTCTATGGAAATGTTGAGATGAAACCGAATTGATTAAATTTTTGGGGAATGTATGTGTCGAGATACTCGAATCGGGTTATGTTTATGTCAAACTGGCAGAGTACATCCACACTTTGTATACGAAAGCGTAAGCGTCATAGTCTACATGCTCAAATACATAAATAAGAATGGTCAAATGGTGAATTGTGTGATGGAGAAGTTAAAAAATCACATTCGACATATAAAATGAATCGCTTTCTCGCTCTCCCAATGGCAGAAAATTTGGTTACTGCATCTGTGTAGCATAGTTTAATAGATTGATCCATTTGCTTATTGCCATCTACATATACTTGTCCGTATAATCCGTACACTTGTTCACCATCAACGTCCGGCCATTCAATCAATACAAACATCTCTCTGCCAAATTTCCATTCCACACGAGATGATTGCTTATATGGAAATTGGCTTGGTTGTTGCACATTTCGAATGTTGATAAATTATTCTATTTTGTTTTGGACGGTTTCAGAGGGGGGTGCGTCATCGTTAATCAATTCGATCATCAATTGCTCTCATTTTGGCTCTTGTTGTTCTCGTTTTACCAATTTCACTTGTATTGAAATATGCGAAATAAATTCGGAACATCGAAGAATTTGCCTGAAATGGAACGAGTTGCCAAATTACCAATTTTTTTTTTCTCACTTATATATTCTCTTTCGTCGGAATTGAAAACAATGCATCACAACAAAAGGAGACTCAAAACACACGCACTTCATCAGACACTTATTGCCTGCGATACTTAATTGAATTGTCGACCAAATAAATTAGCTATTGCAGTAATTGAGTGTGAAATTTCGTTGTTGTTGAGACGCTGTTGCGTTGAGTGCCTTTTTTCGGGCGAAAAACACGCGAAAAACAAGTTCAACTGAGCTACAGAGACGGAGTAAAAAGAGTGAATTGTGACGCGAATGAACTACCCCAATAAGGAAATCGTACAGCATTTTTATAATCGACCGAATGTCAATGTCCATCTACTCGACACACTGATTGCATCATTCACGCACACACAACGATACATATACGATATGTTTGCTTTCCTTTTATTTAACTGCACAAAATCACGTCGGATACATTACTGAACTAAAAAAAATACACAAAACTATTCGTTATTTAACGCTGAAAATGATTTCTTTGAGCAGAAAATCGCGATGCGAACAAGAAATTGAGATAAATCGTTTAATTGTCAGCGCCATTGTTCTACAATCACTGGATATGTATGTGATTTGAACCAAATAGCAAAATTGTTTTTTCTATTTGCTAAGCTCTCGCTAATCGATAATAATGGTTTGTCCCATTTTTGTCTGGGAAAAAACTGAAGCAAACATTTCAACGTTATTTTTTTTTACTTTCAGTGAGAATAATGTGTCGTAATTGGTATTTGAACAGCATGAGTTCATGGAAAAAATGGAACTGATGCCGCCAGCTATTCTTAAGTATGTATCATGTGTCACACGCAATTAGAACCTTATCATTCAGATCATCATGTTTTCATTGAATTCTTTATAGAAAGAATCTACTTAGCATCAGATGCAAATTTTACGTCTTGGCAGTAGTCACATCAGCAAATGACACAGACAAAAGAAACATTTATATTTAGGTACTGTTACGTCTCGTCTAATTATATTATAGAATTCTTGAGACTCAATAAGAAGCCATTTTTATCTTCTATATTTCCATTTTTTCATGCAGTAAATAGATCGCGAATTCTTTTATGCCTGAATGTTGATTAAATTTTGGATTTTCTCTTGTCAATTATTGAAGCAGCAAATTTCGTTAAGTACTTCTGCGAATAAGTAAAAGTATTTCTTCGAAAAATTTCATTCAATATGATGTATCTGATTGATTTCAATTCTAATATTGAAAATTGACTTTTTAAGTTGTTTCCCAATCAACGATTATTTTTTTTTTCAATTTCTTCTTCTTCAATTCTTCGATGAATGATTCGATTGCTCATTTGATTTGTTCGACAGTCTTTTCTGCTCTTTAACTTGATATTTGATAACAATATTTAAGTAAATCGAATTTTCCAACAAAAGGTTTTTCATTTTATATATATTTTTTTTTACAATTACAGAAGATGGAATGCCTAGCCAGAATGAAATGCACTTCGATGGAGAGAGCCATTGTGTCGAGGGATGAAGTTGAAGCACTGCATATACAGATTCTTTTGAATTGATGCGGTAGCCATGGTGACAAGTTGACGGCGTCGCCTGTATTTGCACAACAGTTTTGTATACACAGTAAACGAAGAAAACAACCATCATTTGGCCAGGAATATTTTGTATATACACTCACACACAGACAACACACATACATCGTACCAGTCTCCCCATTAATCAAACAACTGCAATTGTAGCCGCACATACGCGCTCTAATGTGGAATGTATGTATGCTTTTGGTATTCATGTTGATTTGGTCGTTATTTGTGCACACTTTTAACTCACGAACGCACCCGCTCTAAATGTACCATAATCAGGGAATGCCATCAAACTACGTCGTCCTCTTTTTTTTTAAATGTAATTGTATCTCTAGGTATCTTGTTTTTTCTTCTCGAGTCCATTTAACTATTATGTTCCTCATGCACTCACTCTCAATGGAAAGGAACCACCGGGAAAATAATGTAGTCTTTTTTGCTCTCTCTATAAATTATAACATTTCAACTTCCTCATTGGTTGCAAAGATAACATTGTTTTCATATCGAATTTTCTGTTTTTCGACCTTTTCTTCCAGATTCAAACCGGAATGAATATTGAATGAGATTTTAATTGATTTGAATTGGATTTGGTCGTGCCCACAATGAGTCAGTGAAAATTCGATTTTAGTTTGGAAAATTCAACATAAATTTATATGAAAAAAAAACAGAGTTTCTGGACATAAAACCAACAAATAAAGGAGGGCATCGCACAATGGAAAAAAACAACCCCCAATGACGTCTAATATTCGAAGGAGAGAGAATTAAAGATAACAATCGAAACAGATCTGTTTGGCAAGTTGTTCATATTGAATACATCCAATTAAAAGAATAACAAACAACATTTCGACCTGAATCTCACTCGAACAACATAAGCCAATACACAGGCCAATGCGTAATTTAATGAAATTTTTTTCCATTCAAGTATTCAACGTTTACTGATGAAATGAAATAACATTCACATATTTTTCCGTTTTCTTGCAGGTTGACTGAATCAGCTATAATGACCGAAATTAATGATTTCGCAGCCTCAATTCAATGTAATTGATTACTGAGAAATGATTTGCTCGCAAATGGCGGAGACACAGAAACAAAATAAAAACAACTTATTTTAGACTAGTTTTTAATTCCAAGCTCATCATTGTTTAAGTTTTACATTTAAGAAGAAGAAGAAAAATCGCGTCAGTGTTAAGATATTCGTTTAGTTTTAATGAACTCAAACGCAATAAATTGGAATTTGAAGTCGAAGCCGATTTTGCGGGAAAAAAACGTGCTTATTGATGCTTATGACAGACGACGCATGGTGACGTGCTGTGAATGGGAAAAAATCGTCAACAACTTAATTAGATGTGAAGTGTATTAGTTGTTGGCGCATCACCAATTTATTTAGTTTATAATTCAATTGTATCAATTTAAAGCAGAATCAAGCCCATTTGCCATTCCAATGCAAAGGCAGCGATATCACCGCTTCGTTTCTCATATTAATTTTTTGTTTTTTTGTTTGAATAATTCGAAGAGTTAAACACACAATTCAATTTACTAACAATTATAAAACGATAAATGGCCAAGAGTATGAAGCGCACGCACCGATTGTGCTCGGTCCGCGGTAAACAACGCGAAAGGGGGAGGTCGAAACATGCGGCCAAGCCAACTAGATATCAATATGCATTCGTATCAATTTAATTCAATTTAATTATGTATGTATACAGTGAAGTTGCTCTTGTTGCTTGTTGTTGGTGTTTTTTTTGTGCATTTAGCCGAGTAATTTTTGCTTTGATGCTTGTAATGATGCAACAAACCGTTCGGTTTTTATTTATTACTCCATTGTAGAATCAAGATATCTCTGGTTAATGTGGATATTTTGAATTTATGATATGTTTAGGTATGTCGCTTCGTTCGCTCGCTCGCTCTCTTACTATCTTGGCACAGGCACATGAGATTTAGTGCAAATTATGTGTGTTTAAACGAAGAAAAAAAAAACGTTTAGCCAAATGAATATGTATTAAGTCAAATGGACGGGAATTCAATAAACATAATAAAATGTGTGTGTGAGCACAAGTGAAATGCGATGCCAACTCAGTCGTTATGGTAATTGAAATTGATAATTAATTAATTAAATCGTTACTTCATCAATGAAAACTCTCTGTGAATTCAATTTACAATGGTAAATCGTACGAAACAAATATAACGCCAACATTTACATCGCATAAATCGAATCAAACTTGAAATGGAAGCATCTTGTGTGTATCACATTCATACTTTAATTTATACGAACCCAATACAAGTGACTGTAATACTATTAACAACGTATGTAGAAAACAGCCAAACAAAACAATGTAGGTCCATGAATGGACGCAATTAATATTAAAATCGAAAACGTTTTGCTGTACATAACAAATCATGTGAAAATGAGCAGACTGTTAAAAAAACAACACGATAAACTGCTGTTTGAGATAGATATAATTCCATGAGAAAATGTTCAGAGAACTCTGTTCAAATGACAATACAAAATCAATGGATTTAGATGTAAGGCTTTAATTTCAAATCGACTGAAGAAACTCAACGCGTAATTTATTGAAATCGTTTGAAGAACAGCAGTTTTTCTTTAGCTGGAACTTGAAACTCAACATTTCCAAATGACCAAAGCAATGCAAATTACCAATGAC